AATATGCCTGGGTATTTAATTTTCTTCTAAGCTAAGTCATTCAATTTAATTTCTGCTCTTAAGAGGTCATTGTTGGAGATGCACAAAGATCTAGCCCCTGGACATAGGTTTTCATTTCGGTGCTCTTCAAATTATTTAACAAGGGCAAAAATGAGAGTGGAGTTATCCTAGAGGCTTCGGAGAGACAGGGAACATCTTGGACTATAGACTGTTGAAAAGTATTATTGAAAACCAGTTATTAAAAGGGGAAAAAAAAACTTATTGAAAGGAGAACTGCTTTTGAATTCTCTGCACAGTGGTGCAGCCTGAAATATCCATTTTGGCAGTTAAGGTGCGGAGATAAGGAGAGCTGGAGATCCAGCGCTCGCATTGATCTGTTACGCGACTTTGTCCCTCTTGTGCAGGCACTGGCTTTGGACAAGATTTCTTTCTCTTCCTCACAGTGGGGCTCTAACAGTATCATTCACTGCCGGCAAAATATTGATTACAGTTTTTGCAATAAGACAAGGCAAGATTGCAAACCCAGCATGTAAGGGGAAGACAGGAGAGCCTCTATTACCCAAGGACATTTGTTGACAAGGCTCTTTCGCCAGCTCAGGATAGGTGCCTTTGAAACTTTATTCTATCAATATGTTTTTTGCAAGGTGCCCTGTCACTTTTTGGGCAACTCGTCCTTGTCTGCGTGCACTTCTTGACAGCTCTTCGTGCAGGGTGCTGGCCCTGATGCCGATCTTCAGAAAAGGAAACGGTTGTGGAGCAGTGGGGAGTGATGCCTGCTGCAGCAACGGGCCACGTCTGAGGCGGCAGAGGCTCTGTACTCTGTAACTGGGGCTTAATTTAATTATGTGCTAAATGAAAAAGTGATTTTCTTGTTGTTGTTTCAAGCCAGGCGCTTGATAATTGCATTAGCTGCACCCTCATCCTTGTGTTTTGTGAAACGGTAAGTAAAGGCTCTTTCTTCTCCGCGCTGTGAGTGATTTTATGGAGCTCATCAGTGTTTCTCCCTGGCTGTATCTTCTCCCCCCGAGCAGCCTTAGTCTTCCAGGGCCCCCTTTGCATCCTCAGTGCCTGGTTCTGAGTGGGTCTCGCTGCTTTTTGGCGCTGGGAGATGCGGGGAGCTGCCTGGGTGCTGCTGCAGCTGAGGTGGGTGATGCTCCCCTGGCACCATCCCAGTGTTAAGTGAGATGTGCAGAGAAAAGGGCTCTTAGGAGATGGATAATGTCCCCAGGAGGTGCCATGTGCTGCTCATTCGGTGTCACCTGCACCTGGACCTGCGTGGTTGGGGCCAGGAGCAGCTCTGCTCCTGGCCAGGAGAGGGTTGGACTCCAGAGAGAGACTTCCCTCCACAGGAATGATTCTTGATGCACTTTGTCTGGTTTTTGTATTAACATTAATATGAGGCTGCCTGGGTTAAGTGGCTTTATTCCTAAACCCATGATATGAAGCAATTTCAACCTAGTATTTAATCTTCCATCTAGGCGCATTCATTCTCTCAATATTTTATGCTAAGCTCCAGTATTTACTCAGGTCTCAGCCCCTTCCTCTGTGAAATGATGAACGCTTTTTAATTAGAAGACTCATAAGCTGCTGGGAATGGCTTTTTGGTTTCACCGGACTCTATTGATTTGCCAGGGCAGCATCAGTGAGCGTTCCCTTGCTTCTCCTCACATTTGTCTGATTAAAAACCCACTGCCTAAATTACAGAACGTTTTGCAGCTGATCCTGCTACAATATGCAGAGGAATTTGGGTGCTTGCATGGGCCTGGGGAAGGATGGAGGTTTTGATGGCTCTAGCAGAGCGGTCCTGACCTATGGATATGATTTACAGGTGCAGTAAAGTCAGTGCAAGGAGAGTGGAAGGGCCGAGGGTGGCAGAGCTGGGGCAGCGCCTGCTCTGGTCCCTGTGAAGCTCAGAGCCTGTGTCCTGCATACAGGGTGTCCTGGGCAATACACTCAGAGGGAGTCCCTTTTAATCTCTGCTCATCGATTAACAAGATGAGGCCGCTCAAATGCTGATGCTTTCTTGCCAATAAATGAGGATTTCAGCCAGGCATCTCGCTTGCCATTATTTTTTTTTGGCAAAATTTGTACACTCAGCAAACTGCAGCTTGGAAAATATCCTTACGGAGGAGCAGCTTTTGCGCATCCCTTGGAGCTGGGGCTCAGAGTGTTTTGCTAAGGAGGTGATGAGGGATGCTGTGGTGCTCTGAGATGAAGATGTCTGAGTGTTGGTGGGGAGGGAAAAGTCAAGATATCCCGTGACAGTCCCACTCACCTACCACGCATGTTCCAGCTAAGCTTCCTTAGCTGCTCCTACTCTCCCTGTGGAGAAGGTTGCACATGAAGTTGTGTTCTTCTTTTGATGGAATCGTCCTCTTTTTTCCCTGATTGCTGCAGAAAATGTGAAGGTAAGAGGAAAAACTGCCCCTGGTGACAGTGTTACTGCAAGAATGGAACATGTGCTGTCCCTATCAATGAATAAGAATATTGATTACAGTTATATTCTTAGAAGATTGAGCAGTGAGTAAGACACATCTGGGGAACAGGCAGCCCCTTGTGCGAACACGTGCGATGGAGCTGGAGAGGCAGCTAACGTGATCCAAGGTGTCTTTGGTGCTGGGATCGGCTATCGTTGGATTTCATTACCCTAGTAAGTTGTAGTAGTAGTAGTAAGTACCAGAGGATGAGGAACAGAGTGGAGAATAGTGTAAAAAAAGAGAATTTCCTTCTATAAACTGATGGACTGATCTTGAGAGCTGTCATTCATCCCCTCCAGAAAAGTCGGCACTGGAGAATAATGGGGATCCTAAACCAGCTGCAGACCAAGAAAAGCTCTTGTAGGATGAGATGGAAGAGAGTGGGAGTTTCTGTGAGAACAGACACCAGGAGCTACGCGCATGATGCACATGATGCATCAGCTGCTCCCTCAGCCGAGGCCTCGGGCTGGTGGGAGGCGCAGGGTGGGAATGGGCCGAGTCCCGCGCTCGGGCGGCGACGTGGGCCCTAGGTAAATGCACATAGGGGCATTTCATACCGTTATTAACGGGCATTTGTTCTGCCAGCCGTTTAGTAAATCTGTGGTTATTAGAAAACGGGAAGGAACAGTCTGAAAGATGCTTCTGATTGAAAACACTCCATTGCCTCCAATGAGGCGTCAAACTTGGGCCACTATCAGGCTCGCCAGTGAGTCTGGGGTCTGTATTTGCTGGTTTTATTGCTCAGGTCCTGTCAGGTTTGTAAGCAGGGTTGACTTTTCTGTTCCGCCTGACGAAGGGTCTAAGCAGGAATCCCGCGCCGGCGTTCGGATTGCGACGCCGCGGCGAGGTGGGCTTCTCCGTGGGGATGGAGACGCTCCGGCAGCAGCCGCATCGGGCGGGAGGCTGCAGCACGGAGGCCCGGGGGACCTCGGCTACCCCGGGCACCGGCCCGGTGCTGTGTTTCGTGAGGGGTCTCCGTCCTGCAGGAGCCTGTGGTGATGGGAGCCCCGCAGCCGCGCTGCTCGTGCCGAGGGTCGCACCTCCGCGCGTGTTCTCCTTGTCTCCCTGCAGATTCCAAAGGGAATGAGGTTAATTACTTGATGACTTGCTCAAAACGTGTAATCACAGGGCACTGTGGATCCCTTGAGGTGTTCTGGTAGGTAAAATAATGGCTCTGTGTGTTTGCTGTTTGCAGCATCCCATGCAGGAGTCCTGTCCACCACCAAGACTATGTTTGGGGCTTTGTCCTGGCGTCGCAGCTGGAGCTGCCTGTTTTATATCATGCTAAAAGTTCATGATGTGGAATGCACTGGAATAACGTGCAAAAGGAACAGGGCTTGGCAGCCAACTCCTTAAAAATGATAAGGGAAGGGGCTGCTCTAGCAGGTCTCTCCATCTAGGAAATTTAGACACAATTAAGCTTAAATAATCAGGGAGCTGATGAAGGGCTGTTGAAGTGGTAGCAGCAAGCGGCACAACAGCAAGGAGATGAAGAAGCCAAGTAAAACATGAGCACTTGCATAGGGCTTGACATCCAGGTGGGACCAGTGCAGAGCTTCTCCTGCTGCGGGGAGCGGAGGAGCTGCCTGGTTTGGGACGCGGAGGGAGCATCTAGCAGTGAAAGGTGCGTGTTTGCTGGCAGCCTGCCTTCTTTCCAAGTCCTTTCAGGTCAAATTGAAGCTATTGCAAACTGCTCTTTGGAATTTTAAAGCTTTCTTGTTTTGTTTTTCTGTAAATTGGTGAGGCTTTTCTGCAGAACTAGCTCCTGGCTGTCCCGCTGGTGGGAGTGCTGTGAGGCTCTGCTGCTCCTCGTAGAGATCAAGCAAATCCTTGACCAGCGTGTGAATTGCTTGTTTGCTTGAATATCAAAGGCACTTCTCAAAGGATAAAGGAAACCAGTGTGTGTCCTATAAGAGCAAATTTGTCTTCCTGTTGTTTGAGGACTTCAGCTCCCTACCTCGCTGCCTCTGCTCTGTCATCTGCGCCGTAAAGCCACAGCCACTGGTGACACAGCCTTGTGACTGGGGTCTATATATGAACCTCGGGTGATCGATGAGGTCTCTGACTCTCCGTTTTCAAAATTCCTCTCCTTCTTGGGTTGCTGCTGAGTCTTGCTGCTTCCATGTGATTTTGGCTCTAAGCCCGAACCTCATGTTTTGCATTTCTTGCATCAGCTGCAGCCATTTCCTCCTCCACGTCCTTCCACTGCTTCCAGCCACCGCTGTTGCTGCAGGTGGTAGCTGAGGTCCAGCCGCTCTCTGCAGCACCCCGGCAGGTTGCAGAGCCTGCAACGTGGGGCAGAGCTGCAACACCAAAACATTCAAAACATGCCTTCTGGGTCAGACCAGAGAGCCACCGCTCCAGGTGCTGAGATCACAGAGATGCCCAGAGAAGGGAGCTTGGCTGATATCTGCCAGCCTGTGGCAGGCAAAGAATATCCCAGGAAACAGGGAGGTGAAGTCAGCAGACACATCCTCTGGTTTGCTTGTGATGTTCTTCCTGTAACTGCCTCTCTCTTTTCAGCTTGCCTTCCTGGATTTTACAAGCTTTCCCTCCGTCTCCCGCTGTGCTCTCCTTGCCCTGAGCACAGCTTCACGCATGAAGAAGCCTCCACGTTCTGTTCGTGCCAGAAGAACTACTCCAGGTCCCCATCAGACCCACCATCTGCCTCCTGCACACGTATGTCTGGCTGAAATACCAGCTTTTTTTGTTTTTGTGAACAAGCAGGAAAACGGGGCTGCAGACACTGCTGGCCCGCGTGCGTCTGCAGCGCAGGCTGCCCGGGAGCCGGGCATGGCTGCACGGGCCGCTGCTCCCCACATGTGCCAGCCCATAGCAGCTGCTTCTGTGTGTGTGAGTGTCCCTAGGAGGTCCTGCCTGCACGGGGCTGCTGCTACGGGGAGGAAGGGCTGCAGACCTGGTGCTTCCCAGCCTGACATTGGAGGGCTGAGATCTGGTGAGGTGATCGAGACTTGCAGGTGCTCCCCAGCAAACTGGCCCGGTCATTTAGTTGGGATAGGAGTTGACAGATTTTGATTAAATGGCCCCGAGTTAATGGGATCGGACCCCAGCTGCTGTAGCGATGGGTGCCACAGAAGTGGCTGCATGGTGATGGGAAGCCCTCCTGACCAGCCCGAGAGCGCCGCGGGCCACTGCCTCGAGTGCTCTGGTAGCCATGTCTCAGCTGGAGCTGAGCGTGGAGCCGGCAGGAGCCAGGGCTCTATGGAGCAGCCACCAAGACGGGCAGGATACCCCTCAAACCGTGTCACAAGTGGCTTATTTTTACATACAAAATACTCCTTCAGGGTTCAACGTTTCCCCACATTGTGGAGCGTGTTTGCGTCTCCCCATGCGCCCTCGCAGTGTTGGGCCCGAGCACCAGTGCCTCTCGCTCTGTCACCTGTGTCTGTTCTGCTCTAGCTACAGCCCCGTTTGCCCCACCGTTCTGTGCCACGCTCTGCTTCCAGGCCCGCCGTCCGCCCCGAGGAACCTGGTCTACAGCCTGAAGCAGTCGACGCTGGTGCTGGAGTGGAGCGCGCCCGCGGACTCGGGCGGCCGCAGCGACGTCACCTACAGCCTGTGGTGCGGCCGCTGCCCGGGGCCGCGGCAGGGCCGCTGCGAGCAGTGCGGCAGCGGCGTGGGCTTTGTGCCCCAGCAGACGGGCCTCGTGGCCCGCACGGTCACCCTGGTGAACTTGGTGCCGCACGTGAACTACACGATCCGCGTGGCAGCCCTCAACGGCGTCTCGGCCGTGAGCCCGCTCTCGAAGCAGCAGTACGCCGAGGTGACTGTCTCCACCGGCCTGGCAGGTAGGACCCTCGTAGCTCCTCTCCCACTGTCTCCAAGGGATGGCCGGAGCCCGTGTGGCCCCGCGTTACCTGCAGCCCCTGCTGCTCCGAGCAGCCTGGGCGCCAGCACGGCCGGTGCAAAGCAGGTTCCCGCCCCGCTCCCCAGGACGCAGTGAGAGGCTTCAGCTTCTCTTCCACGAGTCCCACAAAACACCCTGTGGGCTGCCAGGATGTGGACAGCAGGCTGCGGAGCTCAGCACAGCTTTCTAGACAGCTGCTGTTTAATGCAAGTGACTGTTGAAATCCGAGCGGTGCCTCACTCCTGTTTTAGCAAGAAAACAGATTCCCGCTTTGTTTTGGGCTCGTGTGTCACGTTTTGATATATGAGTCTGTTCAGCTGAGAGTTTTGTGGCTTTGTTGCTTAAAAGATGTGGTTTCTGGAGCATGTGTGACCACAGCCTTTGGACCCAACTAGCACCTTGGAAGTGTCCTAATATGTCTCCTTTTGCACCACTGTTGGATTTCTGGATGCTCAGTAAGGAGGGTTGTTTGTAAGGAGACTCACACCTCTTCCCTTCTCCCTGCAACATTCCCAATGTGGTTTGGATGGGTGGCGTGGAGAGCAGAGGAGCTCGGTGTGTTCGGAGGGCCGTGACTCGGGTTTGTGCGGCGCTTGCTCCCCGTTGCTGACCCCGCTGCCTCTCTGTTGTGCTGGCTCTGGGCTCACACGGTCGCGCACTGGTGGAGCCTCGTGGCAGCCGTGGGAAACAACCACAGGGAGCGGGCGAGTCCCCTACGCCATCGCACTATGGTTTGAATATACCCATCACAAAAAGTATCTTCAAAGAAACAGCACTTTCAGCCTATTCGTAAGAAACCCCCCTAAAAATAGAGTGATTTAGATATTGGTTATCATTTGGAAATGGAAACTTCGATTTCATCTCTTTTCTGTGCTGTTCTGTGGCACAATTCCATGCTGTGAGTGCCCATTTCTATTTTAGGCTTCACGTTTCTGCTTTCTTGCCATGGGGGGAAGCCAGCGCGGGCTTCGCGTGCCCAGGCTGGCTGCAGGAGGGTCGTTCTCCGCTCGGTTGTGAGCGATGCCCAAGGACCATCAGCTGTGCCTTGTTGTGTCCTTGTCTCTTCCTCTGTGGTTATGTTATTAATTTGCATGAAAACCCTTTGCCAAGCCACCCTTAATGGAGACGGATGATCCTCACGTACCTCTTGGCAGGAATCGGCCAGCAGTTTCATCTGGAGAGATTAAATTTTGATCTTGTTATAAATAATTTTCCCACCACTTGATCAAATGTTTTTGTGTGTGTTGCTGCTTTCTCTTTCCTGGTATAAGAATTTCTCCGAATCTGCTCTGTGGGTGCTGGGCCGCAGACCGCTCTTCAGCGGAGGTGTCACTCCTAATTAGGATCTCTGCTGTTCATGGGTGGATTCAGCCCTGGGAAGAGCTTCCCTTCCATGAGCTCAGGTTCTTCCTTATCCCAAGGCAGGCGAGTGACTCGGTTCTGGAGCAGGAGAGGTGGGATCGCTGCCCCGTGGGAAGCGCCGCGGACGTGCGCGGTGCGACGACGAGTCCCAGCGCTCGTCGGGTCTTTGCTGCCAGGATCGACCCTCTCCCCCATGTTGCTGCTGTGGTGAGACCCCCTTTTGCAGCTCACCAATGCAGAGCACCCATCTGCCTGCAGAGCCCCTGCAAAGGGCAGCTGGGGTGGCCTGGATGGTACCTGGCCCCCAAGAGACTCCAGAGAGGTACCGTGAGCGGGATTGGCATCCTGGGAGCATCCCTGCCATTCCTGGGCCTTGCATACGGTGAGGCCAGCAAACGTTTGGAGTGAAACAGCAAGTTCACAGTTTGAACACATGCCCTTGCTCTAAGTGTAGTAATTAGTAGAGCTCTTCTTCTGGCTACGTGGGAATCTCAGCCCCTTACTCAATTCTGCCTACTCCTACAGGAGCGGAAATGCACATAAAGAATACGGCATAATTAATCCTGTAATCTGCTCAAAATCACCGTCTCTTGTGAAGGCGAGAAGCTTCCGGATGCAGATGGGGATGTGGAATGAGCTGAGCAGCCAAGTTCCTGAGCTTGGGAGGCTTCTGGAGACACACTTTTTAAATCTGCAGTTGTCCCTTGTCAAGTTGCAGGGAGCGGGGCCATGTCCAAGCTGCTGCTTTTGTTCTTCTTATCCTTCTGCAGACTGTAAGGTGACCTCCTTCTGCTTGCTTTGATCTGATATGTGAAAAATGACGGCGATGATTAACTTGTGCTTATCAGCAAAAAGGGAGGAGAGGTCACCTCTTTAGTGGTGTCTTAGACCTGGCCTGCATGTAGCACCCCTCTAAGGCAAGAGGCTCGTGCCTGCCCACGAGGCAGCCCCAGGGTGCTGCAGGCCTCGCTACCAGGCATGGATTTGCAGAGGAAAAATGGTTTTTTTGCAGTGGGAAATGTGACGTGTTTGTCCCCCATGCAGCAGCACGTGGCTGTCCCAGAAGGACCCCTGAGCCTTGTCCCCAAGGCCCCTTTATGGCCTGGTCCTGGCTCGGCACGAGCTGGATGGATGAGATGGGTTAAAAGGCCCTTCGGAGCAGGCTGCCTTCCAGTTGGATCCCATCCTGGGAGCCCAAGTGACTCCCCTGCTCCTCAAAGCCCATCAGCGCTGGATGGGGCTGGAGATGCCAGGAAGGTGAGACTGGAGGTGGCTGAAGGGGCCCAACTTCCCTCCTGGCTGCTCTGTCGTGGTCTAGGGCACAGTGTCTGCAGCAGCAGGAAAGCTCTGGCTCCGGAGATGCAGGTTTGAAGGAAAAAAAATAATAAAGAAACAGGACCTTATTTAACTAGCAGATCCCAGCTCCTCTAAATATAGCTGTGAGCACAACTTTCACCCTGCCCTTCCCTTTCAGTGTGCACGAGAGGGAATTAGCAGTTGTTCGTGGGATTTGTAGGGGAAAAGGAGAGATGCTATTTAGTCTGCAGGAGGCAAAATTAATACTGTGTTTTTTTCTAATCTGGCCCCAGCGTGGGGCTAAATTAAAGAGTTTGAGGAGAGAACAGAGCCGTTTACCTGCAGGAGCAAGGCCACATTAGCTGTATAAATGCACGCCGTGGGACAGTGCCATTTATATTCCTGGCAGGGATCGGCTCCTGCCTTAAAGAGCTTTTAAATCTGTTGCAAATTAATAACGCAGCCACTATTGAGACACCCTCTTATATCCGGGGCTGGGCAGATGGGGCTTGTGTGGTGCCAGGGCTCTGGAATATGGGATGTGGTTCTTGCTCGCCAGCAAGAGCGGGACCTGGAGCAGCTGCCTGGGAACCCACAAGGCTCCTCTCATGGTCGGGGCGAGCTGGGGACGTCCCCTGTGCTGGGGGAGCCACAAGGACGCGGGGAGGCGTCCTCGGTGCTCAGGGACGGGCCGAGGGATGGAGGCTGCGCGCGGCGGGTCGGTGCCACGCGCTGCTGTCCTGGGTTCCCTGGTGCTCTCCCAGCTCTGCCGGCAGCGACGTGCCGGCCTCATGCCGGCCGAGCACACGCTCCTCGGAGCGTCCTCGCCTGCCTGCAGCTCGCTCCGCGCTCGCCATATGCTCTCCCTTGTTGTGGTTCACGTGCAGGTGCCAAGGGTGGCAGGAGAGGCAGCTGGAATGTGTTAGCGAGAGAGGCTCCCTCCTGGATTAGCTTAAAAAGGAGAGTTTGCTCTGTAATTACAGGGCTCTGTCTCCACCAGCAGCTGGCTGCTGAGCTTGGTGCTTGTTATCCAGTAAATGCCATTGCCCTGGGACGAGCACGAGGTGCAGGGCTGCTTGCCGGGTCCCTCCGAGCGCTGCCGTGGGGGTCTGGGCACCCAGGGGGGCAGCGGATGCGGCCCCGGCCGCCGGGATCGGGTCTCTCTGCGGTGACATGGTTGGGCACAGGGCAGGGTGGCAGGGCCAGGACTTGTCTGCCCGCCTGTCTCGAGAGCTGCTTGCTGAAGAGCAAAGCTGCGCACACTGGAACGGAGTTTATAAAATCAGGCAGAACGGTGAATAATTTAATGTTTGCTTTTCAAAGTAGAGCCACAGTTAGGGGAGTTTGAAATATTCATGGGGGACTTTTTTTTTCCACTGTGTGAGCTGCTTTACAGTCTATGTGATTTTCTTTAATCCCCTTTAAACATGTTTGGGGCCAGTGCCTGGCACCCAGTGTGAGTTCTGCTGCACCGCGAGTCACTCGGTGAGCGTAATTTTTCCTGACAACTTTAACAGCGAGGACCTCTCGCTGGCTTTTATCAGTCTGTCCTTAACCATACCTGTTATTAATATGCCGTGCTCGGTGCTGATCCAGTCCGTTCGAATTGTCTCAGTCTCCTTAGAAATGAGAAAGACTGGGACCAAGTAACGTGGCAGACTGCGAGCTACGGCCGGGCGTCTCTGTGATATTTTATGGATGGTGGTTGCATGAAACAACAAAGAGCACTTAACTCTGGATCGCAGGAGCAGAGTTTAAGCTGAAGGCAGCGTGCTGCTTAACAGGCTGTGTCGCTTGACGGTTTGTATGGCGCGGTTATGAGTGCTCACTGGGATGCCAGGGGCTGGCAGTGGGGATTATCCTTGCTCCCCATGTGCCATACGAGCATCCGAGGCCGATGGAGGTGCTGCCTTCCTCACCCTGTCCTAAGGGGTGACAAACACCTTTTCCCATCTTGATGCGATGCTTCTTGTACCCGAATGTCCTTCCCCCTTGCTCTTCTCCATCAGCAAGTGCTGTATTATGGCTTGTGCTGTCGAAGTGTGGCTCTGCTGCGGTGGAAATCAGGTGCGATTTGCAAAGTTTGGAGGAAAACCTCCGCAAAACAGGTGCCAATTTGTTCAGGCTAATTATTGGTCTGTGAACTACGAGAGGCGGGCGCGGGGCTGCCCGCTGCGAGGGCAGCGTTAAGGTCTCGGGAGCCTCCCTGACACGAGGTTGCTGCTGACACCAGCAGTTTCACGTGCTCTGTAATGCAGCCCCGCGTGAAGAAAGTGACAGCAGAAAGCGCTCTGCAGAATTGCTGTGCTAGAGGAATGATGCAGCTCACCTTGGGGCACCTTGTCTTGTACTTGACATCGTGAATTTATAGTGAAAGCCGGGGCGAGGCTTTAGCGGCCGGAATCTGTAACGCTTTTGCACAAAGCAGAGCGCTCCCAAATAACCAAAAATGCTGCCATGGAGTGCTGGAGCACAGAGAGATTTGGCAAGTGCAAAGCGTTTGCTAGGTCGCCGTGTGCACTGCTGGCGTGGGGAAAAGGTTTACCTGATGAATGCTTGTGAAAATCCCTGTAGCTCTGCCTTTTAATTTTGGTCTTTGAGAGTGATCCAGACCTCTGCATTCATTTGCACTGCAGCTTTATGATGCAGCCGCCTGGGGAATTAGTGCCGTTCTGCTTGGGCTGTTTGGAACAGTAATAACCTTTTTATCTCACTTTGTGCTGCTGGAGTGAACTTGTTCCACCCTCTCCACATGCAGACAATTGCATATCCTCTTAAAGGTCAACTCTGGGGCCAGCATATTTACTTGGAGAATAATTTTTTTTAATGCCAAATAGTATTTAGCGAGATTGAAGTAAAAGGGAAGCAATGTGTGGGAGAAGAGTTCATATGAATGAACAGGCACGCGCCGGGCTCCCTGCCTTCCTTTTGCTCTTCATGTGTCTTGGGCTGCTGTTCAGGTCCTCTTCTGCCCTTTCAGTAGAATCTGAAAGGACTGGGAGCCAAGGAGCAAATCATCATGAATAAAACATCAGCGTAACTTTGTTCTTCAGCAGAGATGAATGGGCAAAGTGATAAATACGAAATTTCACAGGTACTTAAGTTTACTTTCCAGGAACTCTTCCTCTCCCGCAGGAGTCTCTGTGGGATAGCCAGGGTCAAGCCAATGTCCTGGTTTGATGGAGAAGCAGGACAGGAGAGAACTGGCCCATTTCTCCTGTGCCTGCTGCCAAGGAGCTGTTGCAGCCTTGGGATGGATGGATGGATGGAGATGCCCTCACCTGCAAACCCTCCTTCCCCAGGGGCCAAGCAGGACTGGACCAGCTGAATGAGCCTGCAGTGGTCCTGCAAACTACAGAATATTTCCAGTCTTCCTTTTGCACAAGGAAACTGAGGACTAAAGGTGAAATCACTTGAAAGAGACACTTAGCAAATTGGCGTCACAGCGAGAGCCTCCCAAGCTGTAACTCTGGGCTACAGAGCAGTGACACTGACAGCACGTACAGGTACAGGAGCGGGGCAGGGAGAAGGAGACATCCAGGGCTTGGACCTGGAATTTGAGCTCCGGCTCCTGTCGTGGGAGCAGCCACAGCCTGGCGCTGGCTCTTGGGCAGCCACCAAAAAGGGGGGTTCCTGGAGGCAGCCGGGGTGGGGGGTAAGTTGGCAGCTCTCCACTCTGACATGTTCTTGCCTCTCTCGCTTAACAGGGGGTTATGGGGAGACTCGTTCCTCGTGCCAGGTTTATGGACGTGCAGAGAGGGACAGGCTGTGTGGGTGAGGTCCGACTTGAGCACCCACGTGTCCCAGGCACTGGTTAAAATGTCCACATGCATCAGTGCAACTGGGATGCTCACAGGCATGGAAAGGGGGTCGGGGAAAGAGGAGGTGTGGGAGAGCTGGATGACTCCAGGAAAGCGGGGATCGGTGCGGCAGAGCAAAGTGGAGCTGTGGCAAACAGCAAGGGCTTTGCCTTCAGCCAGAGCCTGAGGATGGCTGAGGACAGCGAGCCGCCTACCTTCGTACCGGAGAAGTCAGCTTGTTTTGAGCCAAACCTGGTTAAAATGAAAATAGTTGGCAGGGTGTCTCGCATGGCGAGATGAGCTAAATAGGAGCCCAAACGCCAGGGAGGAGGATTCAGCGCGGAGCATGTGCCAGCTCGAAATAACCAGGCAGCTTCCCTGGGCCGCAGCTTGTGCGCTCGGCAGTGCGTGGGACGGTCAGCTCTGCCGTCCTCCCAGCTGCCTGGGAGGGCGAGCGGGATGGTGGGTGGAGAGCCAGCGGCTGGGGGAGGCTGCAGAAGGCTTCGTGCCTCATCCCAGCCCTGCCGCCCGGAGACTGAATTTCACACTCTGCAGAAATAGTCAGCAGCCGCCACGGGCCACCGGAGCCGCCTCCGGCCTCGCGTGGCTCCGCGTCTGTAACTGCTAATGGTGCAGATCACCCCGTGCTCAGAGCTCCTTCTGCCACGGTGCCGGCCACGGGAGGGGGCACTTGGAGGCAAACGTTCGAATGGCACAGGGACCCCTGGCACAGGGACCCCTCACCCAGGGCTGCCTGCTCATCTGCTGCTTTCCTCTCTCTGCTTCTCTAGTGCCGAGTCCCGTCACTGACGTCCGCACGGACAGAGTTGAACAGAAGAGTGTTTCCTTGTCGTGGCGGGAGCCCGGCTTCCTGGCCGCCAACAGCACGGAGTATGAAATCAAGTACTATGAAAAGGTAGATCCTTTTCCTCGGTTTTCAGATTTATGTGACACCCCAAAGAGGTTCCCTGCTTCTCCTCTTGATAGCCAGCCCAACCTGTCATTTGTGCAGTGGTTATTACTGATGTTGGTGCCTGCATCTCTGCTTCTGTTGGCAATAAACCATCTACTTTTATGTGTTCAGTGGTGGAAAAAATATATATATATGTGTGTGTGTGTGTGTGTGTGTGTGTATGCACATGGACTAAGGAATTGTGGAGGTTTCATTCTGGAGGTAACAGCAGCACTTTGAATGGGGGCCAGTAAAACCTTCTCGTCTTGAACAGTGTTGTGCAATCTGCTCTGGTAAACCATGCAGTGCTTCTAGATCAATGATGAGGTGACACCATATTCCCATCCTGCTTTCTTAGAAAGTGAAGGACATTATGGACCTTGCTGCCTTAAGACTGAATGCTGCCAAACCTGGAACTTCAGGCTAGTGATCTGTAAGTGGCCTTCCACCCTGGAGGGGATACAAGCAAACATTTTTATGGCAGTTTCTTAGTTTAAAAAAAAAATAGCTGTTCTTTGGCAGACACTGTGGGTTGAGAATTTTAGAAGAAATACCAGTGGGCAGAGAGCAGGGAGATACTGTAAATCAAAATAAATGCAGTTTATGACACAGTTCTGCAAATTACCTTATCTGCGTGTACCCAGGCTCGTTATGAAACTGATTACACGTCAGGCAAACGGTGCAGGTGACATGTTGACATTCTGTATTTAGAAACAAGATACCTTGAAGCTGATTCATATTAATACGATCTTCAACATCTGATAGATTTGAAGGGAGGAATCTGTGGGTGAGGGCAAATGCTGAAGCATAATACAGTAATTCCTTTGCAAATGGGCTGCAGCGATGTGATACACAGCGTATGTGAAATAACAAACTCTCCTGCAGCCCAAAGCTCGGATAGGGAACTTAAACTATGGCTTAGCAATTATTCACTGAAATGAGGCTCTTGATGCTGACATGAAAATCAACTTAGTTCCTAATCTTTGCTTTTAAAGCCATACTTTCACCATGGAGATTCAAGGGGAAAAGCATATCAAATAGAAAATACATTTCACAGTGACGTCCCCAGCCTGGGAGAAGCATAATGAACTACTTGTGAGTTGTGCCATTAGTGGCAGAGAGCAGGACTCGCAGACCCCGTCAAGGCTGATCATCGCACCTAATGACTGCACAGCGCCTACGTGTGCGAGAGACCAGGAGACGCTGGGCCTGGAGAGTGGCGCGTGGCCGGGGAGCTGCCCGCTCTGCTGCGACGTGGCCTCAGATAACCTCTTTGGGGCTGGGGACGGAGGCAGACCAATCTCCTTGCTAGGGAGAAAGGATGCTTTGGTTTCCAAGTATCATTCTTTTACCTCCTATTGTAAATTATCATTTCGAATACCTTGGCGGTCATTGTGAGTCTTTTGGATAGTCCAGATAACGAGTTTCCCTGTTTTTCACTCATGTTTGCTCACCTACCCTGCAGCCCAGGAAATCCTCCTCCACTGCCCTGAACAGGCACCCTCCTCCGGGCCAGTCCCTGCTCCGAGTGGCAGCCCTTGAGCAAGGAGAGGGAGGTCTCTCCTGTGAGATCCCGGTGCGGAGGCTCGGCAGAGCTTCTCTCCAAGGAGAGCAAGGACGTGGTGATGGGCACCTGTTTTGCTGCTCCTGACATGTCCCTAGTGATGCTGCCAACGTGACTAGAGCAGAAAGCTGGGATTTTCTGGAAGCGCTGCTGGCCAGGCAGCTCGGCAGTGAGTGTGAGAGTGACCTTTCTGAGGCACAGCTGAGAAAATGAGATTAAATGGCAGATGTGCAGAAGCACTGGAAGTTCTGCTGGAGCTTACAGAAAGGTTATGGTTTGCTTGGCTCTTCAAATGGAGAGTGAAGCAGAAGCCTCAGAACGGCTGTTCTGCTACATGAAGAGCAGAATGCAAGTTCTTTCTGTAGTAGAGAGTTTTCATCAGTGCAGCCTGCAGAGGCAGAGCACGGCCTTTCCTTCAGTGCTCAACAGCTGCTGAACGAAAGGCTCTGGCCGTCTCTCTCTTCCCCCTTAGTCAAGAGCAGAGAACTCTGTAGGTAGCTGGACGAGTGAATAAAAAGCCAGGGAATAGAGCTGGTAAGCAAATGCACCTGCCAACTTTGATTACTCAGTGTGTGCTAATATATGTTTGTTGGGTCTCGAGAGAGTCCCTGCTGATGCTGGAGCAGCTTCATGCCGCCCCTTTCCTGGCGCTGTGCACGCTCTCCGGCAGGGATGTGCCTCTGAAGTGCGTTGAGTTTAATGAATCTCCCTGTAGCTTCCTTCCTTTATCAAAAACCCAAGCCGGGTGTTCGCCCCAAGCTGCTCCCTGCTGCGTGCAGCCCTCGGCCTGCTCGGAGCTCTCCCTCTTGCTGGCCTGCTGGGGGTAGGAGGACTGTGCAAGGCTCATGGCCAGCTGACGTATGAAATTGCTAATATCTTTATATGCCCGAGAGAGAGACAGTGTCCCATCATGCAGGGATAGTGCTCTGTGATACGGTGGGGTTGTTTTTCCCTAGGAAATGGGAGTGTGAGACTGCAAGAATGCCAGCGTGGGGATGGTTGCCTATGCATGCATCAGGGTGCTTGTGTCTGCTCTGTGCCGCGCTGCCCGCGGGGCTGCCCTGCAGCTGCTTCCACGGGGGCCATGGGCTGTGTGAGACCCTCCGGCCGTGCCCGGAGACAGCCCCACGTGCCAGCAGCCCAGCCTCAGGGCATGGGGCAGCAGGGGACGGCGAGGAGCCTTGCAGGGCGGTACAGCTGCTCCCCGTCACCCGTTCCTCCGCCTGTCTTCATAATGCATCATCTGGTCCATCTGCTAGTTCATGCGACCTTTCAGTGTAATTTCTATTAATGAGACATCTAGTAAATGTATTCTTTTTATTGAAGGCTTTATGTTTAGACAGAGTGTCCTGATGGGACCCAGAGGCAAAGTGAAGATAGAGCAGTACTCTGCCTGCTCCATGGCGCAGCTGTCAGTGCAGTTAGATCTCTGGTGTTTCATTATTTCACAGGATCAAAGAGATCAGAGTTACTCAACTGTGAAAACCACATCAACCACCGTGACGGTCAATAACCTGAAGCCTGGCACCCTCTACATTTTCCAAATCCGGACATCATCTTCACAGGACTACGGAAATTACAGTCCTAGTATTGAAGTGGAAACCTTAGGAGAGCGTGAGTGTTAACAAGGTTTATTACAGATCACTCTTCCACATGCACAAGCAGCTAGTAGATATTCTAAGCTGAGTCGTGGGGACACTCCTTGCTCACTGCTCGTAGCTGAGACTGTTGGTTTCATGGAGCAGCATCTGTGCTGTATACTGCCCTCCCTTTTGAGTGTGAGTGATTTTGCTGTTTGAGATCTAAGAGCAGATATTTTCCAGGCACTTTCCTTTAATTGCATTTTCCTCTTCTATTTTAACAAGATTGCTAGTGCTGGCGTGCCTGTCCAGGCGATTACTGCCCTTCTTCTTCTCAGTACAGCATTAGTGAGGGCAATGTGGGTTGCTGGCTCATCAACTCTGCTTGCACTCTGGTGTTGAGAGAGAAAGAGGACATGGTCGCTGGATTTTCTACTGAGATTGCCTAAGAGACTGCCTAGCAGAGCCAAAGTGGCTGGGGTTTTGTGTTCCACTGGCGTGATGTCGATGCTGGAGCAGATCTCGCTGTCTGCATGTCATGAGGCCCTCGCCCAGATGTTGGAAGGCAAGGATTCTCAGGCACGTTCCTTGCTCTTTGCTCTGCTAAGCTGTGCAGCCTTCGAAGAGTGCTGCAGAGCAAAGGGTCTGCTGGCTGCATGGTCTGAGCAGAGGAGACAGAGATCAGCCTGGAAATTCTGCTGTGGATGTCCCGGATACACAATGAAGCTCCCATCCTTAACACCTTAAGAACCTACGAACGCCTGATTCTTCAGGTGTTCAGTTTGTTGGATACTTTGCTCAGTAAGATCAGCCAGCATCGGTATCACTTGCTGGGGCTCTTCCTTTTCAGTTTCCATACGTAACTATAGTCCAGAAGCATCTTATTTCACTGACTAAAAGAGGGCTTGGAGAGATCATAGGGTTTCATTTAATAACCCACCCTGGCTGGAAATGAAAGCCCTGAGATGGCTGGCTCAGTACGACTCTCACAGATTGTGTTTAACAGGGCTTTAAATTGCATCCATTTACCACACAGAAGACGTTTTCAGAATGAATTGAATCCAATAAAAATTTTATATAGAATGTAGCTTTCTAATACTCCTGTTTGCAAAAGCAGGAAAGGAAAGGATTAACGTGATGAAGGAAAACCATTTGTAAGCCATAAATTTTAATATGTCTCCCCCCTGCAAAACGGGAGCATTTCTTTAGAGCTGCCTAGCAGAACGGGGAGCGTGGCGGGCTCCGCTCTGCTCGTGCGCTCAGCCTTGTCCCAGCCTTAATCTGATTGCACCGGCTCGACGTTCAAAGCTGAACCGGAATGCAAATTGTCTAAAGGATGATAAACAGTTGTTGGCACCTGTGAGGGAATGTCCCCCCGAGCCTCGGGTGAGGACAGGGGCTGGCTTTGCTGCTAGGCCCTGTCCTGTCATGCAGAGGAGCCCATCGCCCACATTGGTGCATCTGGATAACGAGCCCTGTGTGCTGGATACGGAGCCCCAGTACAGGGGGGTAACAAGTCCTCAGAAGCGTCTCTCTCCTGCCTTAGTGCTCGCCAGGGTGGCTGGGGTCTCCATTGCATGGTCTGAGCTTGGAGCAGGTCTCTGGCACCAGCTGCCTCCCTGTTTGGTTCTTTGTCGGAGGTGGCAGCAAGCTGGCAGCCTGTCCCCCGGTCTGTGCATTCGCTGCGTCTTCAGGAGCAGAGATCTGCCGCTTTGCCGGCGGTGCCGACCCTCTCTCCTTCCCTCCCGGCAGTGACGGTGGCCTCCAGCGAGCAGAACCCTGTCCTGATCATTGTGGTGGTGGCCGTCGCGGGGCTGACGGTGCTGGTGTCCATGGTGATCGGCGTGATGGTCTGGAGGAGGTGAGTGGTGGCCGTGCCGCAGTCGCGCCGAGGCCTCCTGGCCATCGCCGTGCCCGGCACACGCAGGCCAGAGCTCCCACCGGCTCCACCGCCTGCATTAATCCGAGCTCTTGTTCCTGCCTCCAGAGCACAGGAGGTTTGTGGCTTCCTTTGGACGGAGGAGCACAGACACGAGGCAGACCGAGTCCTCTGTCGCTGTGCAGCCATCCTGTGCTGCGGAGGCCGCCCCATGGGGCGGGAGGGACAGGCAGAGAGGGCACATCGAGATCCCTGAACGACACGGGCATTACCTAAAATGTCCCTGCTAGCTCTCCTAAGCTGAGGGTTGGGATTTTATTTCCTCTTTTAAAGACGATCTGTGGAGCGCTGCCCTGCTTGGTGGGCTGTGGAGTGGAAGGATAACTCATCCTTCCCTCATCCTTGCCGTTCCTCTCATCAGGGCAGAAAGAACATATGAAATGGTTCGCAGAGGTGCTTATGTGACAGGTGTCTCAGTTTAACAACCTGTAATTTTTAACTCAGAAGACCAAATGAAGCCTAAAATGAGGGGGACAGTTTATAACAGATAACACTTAGGAACTGGAAGTGCGGATTAGCAACTCTATAGCGCTGTGTCCAGAGCAGGAGCGAGCTGCTGGCGCTCAGGTGACACCGACCTCCCCCAGGCTGGTCCTGAGCAGCAGGGGACTGGCCTGGCACATCGGTACTTCTGGCTCTGCAAGACTTGAGCTTGTGCATGAGGCTGGCAGGTCCATCACAACTCACCCCAACCACCACGACCCCCTTGGAGCCCTGGGGTTTGTGCCGGGGCGGTGAGAGGGTAGTACAGAGCACTAATGCCAGTTAGGGCTGTGGAGCTCCCAACTGGAACACATCTGAAATGCCCCAGGTTGTCCCTCACAGGGACTTGTTATGCACAGCGAGCCTCTTGGAGCCCTCAAAGCTGGAGAGAAGCAACAGCAGCTGCCCAGATAATAATATGGATGTTAATTCTCATTGCAGGCAGTGCGGGTACAGCAAAGCCAGCCAGGATGGAGATGAGGAGCTGTACTTCCACTGTAAGTGGAGCCTGGCCGCCGTGGTCTGTCTAATTGTGTGGGAATCTCTGTATTTATTGATATTAGTAACCCAGCTCTCAGCAAAGCAGTCTTGAATCCTTGTTTTTGAAGTGTTGTCATCCCGTGTTATCCCAGAGAAGCGCAGCTCAGCACAGCATGGCTCTCTGGAGACAGCTGGCTTGACAGCTTCATAAGCCAGTGTCCGTCCTTCCTGCACACAGGTCACTGGCATGCCAAAGGGGATGGAGATGCTTTCAGGCTTCCACATGGCATATGAATTATTCTGTCAGCTTTTCACAAACAGGTACATGAGAATATAGCTTTGCTTTCTGGGGTTACTGTTGATTATTGAGCAGCAGTGATTTTGCAGACAACAATTGCCAAAGGAAATTCAAATGTCAGGATTGATGAATTTATTTGATTCCTAGCCTATGCCCACTGCACACACACGTGTTCTTCTGTTCCTTGAAGCACTTCAGAAGCAGCAGAGCCTGTGTGCTTTTCAGATGAGCCTCTGCTGTTTCATCTGCCTTTAAAGAGCCTTGGGTGTTGCTGTCTGCCCTCAGAAGTTTGCAGAAGGTGTTTCCTGCAAAGTTCTTCTCAGAGTAAGGGGAAATACAGCTGTTTCTCAAGCCACCTGCAAGTGGCATGCAAGGTAGAAGAGAAGCCCTATGTGGTGACCCCTTCCAGGAGGCATTTGGCAGCTCATCACCAGAGAGCTCTGCGGTTTTCTCGTCCAAAATACTCAACTCTCCCATCAGACCTCTTCGTCTCGCACAAGGAGATCCCCCAGCCAAGCCTGGGGCTCACACTAAGACTGCAGGATGCAGCCGTCCCCTAGGGCCTTGGTGGGAGCCCGTGGAAATCGGGGCCACCGCTGTGCTCTGTGCAGGGCACGTGGCAAGAGGTCAAGTGCGCTGAGATGTGGAAATGTTGGACGCTCATCCCGTCCTGGCTGGGCAGAGCCTTGGGACACTGGCCTGGCACGCATTTCTCATCCATTCTTCATGTATTTCCCCACTTTCCTGCAGTTAAAATACCAACCAGGAGGACGTACATCAACCCTGACACTTGCGAAGACCCCATGCAGGCCGTGCACCTCTTTGCCAAGGAACTGGATAACTCGAATGTTAAAATTGAGAGGATCATCAGCACAGGCAAGTTCCACATCCATGGAATGGCTCCAGGCCCCTCTCCTGAAGGGTGTTGCTGTTCCATCCGTGGCTATGCTGAGGTAGCAGTGGCCACCTGCCAGTGGCTGCAGGCTCCCATCTTCACTGGGACATTCCCCATTCGCACCCAGCAAGGAGGTGGGAGAAGAGTTGTTTAATTTTAGTAGAAGAGCTGGCTGCAGCATTCCCGATTGTCCTTCAGAGGCACTAAATGCAGCCAGCAGTGAGGAGCGTACCAGAAAGCATCAGCAATTATCTGCATCTGGGCAGTTTGACAGCAGCACAAAAACTATTTATAAATATGTGAACTTAATGATTTATTGATTTTCATCAACTTCACTGCCTAAAACTTACAGCAAATTAAAATCCCCTCGCTGGATCCTGAAGCTTTAATCGCTAATGGGCACCAGAACATGGGAAACACGATTATTCTCTGTCATTTTTCCCCTAAAGATGTATTCAGCTGGGAACGAGAGATGGAGGCAGGGAAGGAGGAGGGGTTTAGCCTACCAGCCTAAAGGACGTTGTTGAGTGGAATGTTTTTAGCTGCTGATGAGCAGAGCAGCTAACACAGTAATCCCAGATATATTTCAGAAACAAATTGATGTTGGTTAAATCATGAAATAAATTAGCTAGGAAGACATTTAAATGTGGAGACTTCAGGAGTGCATTTGTCTCACTGCTGATCTAATAGGTACCTGGCTTTCAAATCAATAAAGCTTTTTTCAAAGCCTTTCAAATCTTCCCTTTTTTTCATGTAAAGGCAATGCTGGCCTTGTATTTTTATGAAATTGTGAGCTTCTGCAGTCAAGTGTGCCTGAGAAGAGTGGGATCCTTTGCCTCAAACACTGCAGAAACACTCGTGGCCTTAACTCTTGTTAGCAGGTCTTGTGTTTGCGGTGAGCTTGAGGGCAGAATGAGTCAGACCTGGGGAGCACAAACTTGGTGGCTGTGGGATGATCTTTTCCTTGAAAAAATTTCTGGTATATACTTGGCCAAAGCATGGAGAGTATGGCCAGTGGAGCTGGGAAGAGTACAAGGAAATTCATTGCATTATCACACACTTTTACTGTCCCACACTGATCCTAAATTTGTGTCAAGGTTCGTGTGTTCAGCAAAAGGGTGAAAGATGGAAAGATTTTACAGAGATGTTTATGGATGGCTGTGGCCACCAAGGCCTCTGTGCTCTTCTGAGTTTGTGGATTGGAAAAACCTCCGGTTATCAGTGGGAAAACCTTGCTCATGTACACAGCAAAACATCACTTGTGCTCCAGAATGCACCGAGATCTCTGCGGAAGCCATAAATAATGTCAGCCTTCAGCATAGCTCATTTTAGTGGCTTGAAAATGATGGAGAGTGGGGTCTGTTCCAGCATAGAAAGGGATGATAAGAGAACAGCTGCCTGTGGGGTTCTCTGAGTGCAAGGTGTTTAATAACAGGATGTGAGGGATGTGCTGCCGCGGCCACTGTTGCTTTTAATTTATCTCTCTGCTGCACAGGAGAGTTTGGAGAAGTCTGCCGGGGATGTCTGAAGCTGCCCAGTAAGAGAGAGCTGCCCGTTGCCATCCAGACCCTGCGGGCTGGCTGCTCGGAGAAGCAGAAACACGGTTTCCTGGCCGAGGCCTGCACCATGGGCCAGTTTGACCACTCCAATATCATCCGCCTGGAGGGAGTCATCACCAGAGGTAAAGGTGGCCTCTTGTGCTCGTCCGAGTGACGCACGGTGCCAGAGATCCTTGGCGGAGGTTTCTCGGAGGGCGAGGTAAAGCCCACCTCTGCATTGCAGTGCTTTATGCTGCCGTTACCTCCTCGGAAGCCCTGACTGTTGCAGTGCACTCACAGGATAATTTCTCGGTGCAGGATGTTTTGTTTAGTTTGGGTATTTTTAAAGTCCAGCCTAAGGTGTTGAGTTATGCTGCAGTGTGTTTACTGCAAGATTTTCAGCCAGAAAATTCTAGTTTTCTTAATGTGTGTTTCTGAGGGCAAGGTTGTGAGTGTTGGAAGACCTGCCCTCATTTCCTGCACTGCCCTGGCTTCACCCAAGGCATTTAAATCATACCCGCAAAAGGAGAATTTAACATCTGGAGGGCTGGAAGGTTGCTCTGCATTTATGTTGATATCAGCACTGAGCTGCCTGCAGCACGAAGCAGAAATGAAATGCTCCTTGCCTGTCTGTCCAGGGAGCACCATGATGATCGTGATGGAGTACATGGGGAACGGAGTGCTGGATTCCTTTCTCAGGGTGAGTGCTGGGGGAGCTGCTGTCGACCGCTGGGGCCCGTCACCCACTCGGGCACAGGTGGTGGTGCCTCTATTTTTCTCCCTGAATTGGGCATCATTGATTTGAAGCTTTTTCCCCTCCTTTCTTGCAGAAACATGAGGGACAGTTCGCGGCCACGCAGCTCATTGGCATGTTGCAAGGGATTGCCTCTGGCATGAAGTACCTGGCAGAGATGGGTTACGTACATAAAAGTCTCGCTGCCCACAAAGTCCTTGTAAACAGCAATCTGGCTTGCAAAATAACTGGTTTCAGACAGCCACAAGAAGACAAAATGGAGACCATCTTCACCACTCTGGTGAGCTGTAGGTGCCCTGTAGCCCTCAGGGTGTTGCACTGGAGCAGAGATGTGGAAGACTGAAGTCTTTCACTAAGTTTACTGCAGTGCTGCAGTAGCTTTTCATGCAGTATGAGGAGAAAGTGCATGTTCTGCAGGTGCCTAGGGCTGACAGTGACAGCTGCTATTAAGGAATACCAAACAAGCTATTTAAGAAATACGATTTCTAAACTATTCTTTTGTTTGCAATTTGGAACTTGGATTATCTCTTTTCTAGATCAGTTGATAAAGATTGAGAAAAGCACAATGCTGTCTTTTACTCAGTAATTAGAAACAAATTCTTTTGTTGCTAGTGTAAAAATCATGGATATCTTTTGCTTAAGGTATAAGGCTGAAGAAATCTCCCCCCACAGAGTGGTAGCAGTTTTCCCCGTTTTCCCCATCCTCACCAGATGTAGAGGAAAGAAGAGAGAAACGTTTAATCCAGATGATAATCTGAAGTCTACTTCAAGCCTGAGCCCATAGGCAAAGGAGCACACCCAGAGATATGGACCTGACACGGAGTAACTGTTAGACTTCAGCCCTCTGCTATTGCCCCCTAGAGAGGCATAAATAAGAGAGAACAACCAGGGTGAGCACCGGTGTCCTGCACATCTCTACCTATGCTTGGCATTACTTTGCAGAGAGCTTCCTGTTGCTTTGACACTCCTGCATTTCCAAACTCTGCTTTCAGTGCTTCCAAAAGGCAAAATGCTGACGGAATGGCTACAAAATCTTTGTGAAACTGGATCCTCCCTGGTGCACAGCCCTGCTGAGGATCGCTTGGACTGAGGCCTGGCATCATTGGAGAGGTTTGCAGGCCTGCTCTGATGCTGAATAGGGATCAAATCCGAAGCCAGCCACTTTCACAGCTGGAGTTAATAATAGATGCAGCAATCCTACTCCAGAAGCAGTATTTTTTCCTAGGCTTGCATTTTCTCTTACTCATGTATGAATGCAGTCTTCACATCTTAACAGTTTCCTTCTCAGCTAAAACCCAACCGCTCTTAGCTATGGAGCTCCTTGGCATTCCAGCACTCTTTCTCCTCTTACTGTAATCCTTGGTGCATGTGTGTGTGAACTGGCGGGTGGCTGAAGGCAGCTTTGGCAGCCTCCGGGTTCGTTATGTCTATTTTATCACTTGTAATGAAATTCAGAGTTTTCAGTCAAGAGTTTAAGTCCTACACAATTCATATTCATACCTCTGCAACTCTGCTAGCCAATACATCTCTTAAGTGCTCACACACACTCGGAGAGGCTGCCTGAGGCTCCCCAGACGTGGATCTGGGCTGGCAGCCTCCGGTTGCCCGCATTTCCAGCCCGGCTGCGCTGCCTGTGCAGCCGCACTGTGTCCTGGAGAGGCTGCAGCTCCCACTCTGGGCTGCTGCCTGCATCCCCGATGCTTTCGCAGTCCAGTTGGATGCATTTCACTCCACAGTGCAGAAGTCGAGGTACAGCGTGCTTAGCTGAAAGGCATTAGAATGTTTCGTTCAGTAGCTCATAGGCCTCCTGCATCAGCTGAATTTATTACATTAACATTTATTGCATTAACTAGGCATTAATATTTTTTAAAGCAGTGATTTTTTCCAATCAAATGAGCACCTACTGTTAGCAGGTAACCCTGTCCGGAGCGGGTGACGCTGCCTGCAGAGCTCTAGAGGAGAGTTTCCCTGATGCTGGCACATGCTGGAGCTCGGGGACACAGAAAGAGCACTGGCCACCCCAGCTTCTCCCACTGCAGTGAAGGGGCCCTGGCTTTGGGGTGCAGGACCCCCCGCTGCTCATTAACCCGGGCTGCAGTGTCTGTCACTGCGTGTGCAGAAGGGCCCTGCAGCCTGCAAGGGGGTGCTAGCTGTAGGAGAGCAAGCCAGCATGGAGGGGACTGTGTTTGCAGAGCTCGGAGACAGGTTTCATTAAATATTAACCTATAAAATGCCATCAGCTCTTCCCTGAGACTTTCTCTCTCCCATTAATATTTCAGGATTTGTGCTCCTGTGTAGCATACTGTTGCATGGCTGTTTTAAGACAAATTGAGGCTAAACTTTTCTCTTGGTATTAAAACTGCATGGGGTACATGGGTCTGTTCCACATCTGCCCTGTGGTGCTGGCTGAGGGCCCAGTGAATGGCAGCCGTGGGAACTGCCTGTGCCCGTTATTGCCTGGTTCTTTTGTGTGCGAGAACATAATTTCTTCTCTTTTTCTGCCTGGGCAGAGTGGCAAGAGCCTGGTGCTGTGGTCAGCCCCCGAAGCTATCCAGTATCACCACTTCAGCCCTGCCAGTGATGTGTGGAGCTTTGGCATCGTCATGTGGGAAGTCATGTCCTATGGAGAGAGACCCTACTGGGACATGTCCAACCAGGATGTGAGTCCTGCAGCAGCGCATGTGGTAGATGAGGGTGTTGCTAACAGTGTGCACGGCGTGCATGGACTTGCATGGAGTCCTCCTCTGGGACTCTCCCAGTCTGGAGTTGGGTTTTTTTTTTTTTGGTCTTGTATGCAGTGTATATTAGAGTCTCTTTCTGGCCCCCACAGCTCAGAGATGTTTCCTCATCTCCTCTCCATCTCCTCTCCGCCCTTGCAGGTGATAAAGGCCATAGAAGATGGATTCCGCCTCCCCGCCCCAATGAACTGCCAGCCCCCTCTTCACCAGCTCATGCTGGACTGCTGGCAGAAGGAGCGCAACGAGAGACCCAAGTTCTCACACATCCACAACGTGCTGAGCAAGATGGTGCAGAGCCCAGAGCCTCCAAAGTGCCCCAACTCCACGTGCACCAGGTGACTGCTGCCTTCCTGCCTTGCCCGCAGCTTTGCAGGTGTGGGTCCCACAGCACCTCCTCTCCTCACGTGCCTCTCTATGTTGGCAGGTCCCACAGCACGTCCATTCCCCTCACCGAACGTACTTTCTCAGCTTTCCCGTCTTTCAGCTCTGTGGGCGAGTGGCTGGAAGCTATAGAAATGGGCAGGTACAAGGATAACTTCACAGCTGCAGGCTACTGCTACTTGGAATCTGTGGCCAGGATGACAGTCCAGTAAGTTAAAAGATTTCCTATCTATAAGCCCATGCAGTGTGAACAAGCTCTGATTTTAAATTACGGTCAGTTGCCATAAAATAGAAGCACAGATCTTCCAAAACATGTCTGTAAGAGCTCAGTGAGGTGGACTGGGTGGCATGTGCTATCATCTCAGCTGCTGTTTCTGAAACTGATATTTAAACATGTAGTTGCTGACAGGAATAGAGTTACATGTCCCTTCCAGGAAACAATGTCAAATCAAGGCGCAGTTTACTGAATTTTGTATACATATATATATAGATAGATAGATAGGTAGGTAGGTAGACAGATAATAGATATATATTATTTTCCTGGCAGTACAGGACTATCTTAGTCTTTCAGTGGGGAAGGGACCTGGGTAAGGACCTGACTGAAGGCATGTACTGCCCCTGGGTTGCTGTCAAACTTCAAACTGGTTTGACTGGTACAGTAGGCTGGTGATTTTCCCTACAGGTCTGCAATAACCTGATAGTCTGAAGTCCACCATGCACCTTCCTGTAAAGCAATTGGAGTTAGGGGCACTGCCCATTAGGGCTTTTTCACTGCTGATGTGGGACTTGTTTTCCAGAGATGTCCTGAGCCTGGGGATCACGCTGATGGAGCATCAGAAGACCATCCTGAGTGGGATCCAGATGCTCCGAGCCCAGGTGATACAAATGCATGGCCGAGGTGTGCAGGTGTGAAGCAACCCCAACCGGACTGTGCAGAGCACTCGCCTCACGCTCCCTGGGGAGGAGACAGCCAGCTGCCTACTGGCCCAAACTGGCCCAAAACGCTGAAATCTTGTCGGAGCAGTTGAGCAGGTGGGATGTAGGAAGCACTGGGCTGCTGCCAAACAAGTCATCCCATGTGGCAAGCCAGCAGGGCTGCCCTTCCCCTGTGTCACGGAGGCCAAGTGTTCCTGGGACATGTGCAGTAATGCAGCGTGTCCGGGTGGATGTGGTTTTCCCTGGCAGCATTTTGTAAGATGAATCGAACTGTAATGATGCCTTTTCATATGGTACTTAGGTTAACAGGGTGGATGGACATTCATGCACTGTTTTAATCCAGAGACACCATTTTGGTATCTAGCATCATACTGGTGTAATCCATGGGTATTTTTCATACAAACCGACTTGTTCTACTGACCCCACACGGAGTTTTTATTGCTTTGATTTTTAGAGACTGGAGCATACCTTACCCTCAGCTTCCTCAAGGTGACTTTGCCCATCTGGTATGCAGAAAGGGATCTCTTTTTCCAACCAAGTCCATTCCACTCCAAGAGTTACCTTACTGAGTCTTGACACCACTGCTGGTGAACAAGAGCAAATGTTCTCCACCAAAATGCGGATGACAAGTCATTTGACTAAAAAGGCTCTTTTGAGTATCCTCAGCCGTTGCAGCGTTGGTTCTGCAGCACTGGTGAACAGCCCTGTGAAGGACTGGGTGTGAGAAGCGGTGATGCCATCGTGTCCCACGGCTTGTGTCATTCCTGCAGCAGAGAATGCTCCAAGTTGCCTGGTTGCTTGAGCTTGCTTGTGATGCTGGCCAAATGCTGGGCTTGGGACAGAACTGACTATTCCATCCATGAGATCCCTCAAATCCTGACACAGAATCTGGGCAAATCAAGGCACAACAGCACTTTATTTTGTTGCAAATGGAACTTAATACTGCATCACTTGCACACTGTATTTTTTCCCATTGGTTCAGGCCTGATCTATGACTGAAGTTAATTAAATGTGTCTTTGCAGCCTTGTACAGGGGCCTTTCATTGTTGTCTGTAAGTATTACAGGTGAATTATTGATGATGAAAGACAAAGATTTACAAAAGGAATGAATGCTGTAGAAGCTGTACTCGGTGCAGTTAGAAATTTGTTTGCATTTTGAGCCAGATGTTCCTATTAGGCTGCACCATGGGATAAAGATCTAAACCACTATTAAGTGAAGGGCCCTTGTTCCTCTTCTGCTTGCACAGCACCTACCAGTTGTCATGCTGGACATCTTCCTTCTGTTCTAGCAGAGCCCCAGCATATGAGTTAACGTCTATATCTGGCCTGGTGGTCCTTGCTGAAAAAGATATTTTAGAGATCCAACTTCTATTTAGTAGAGACTCATTTGTGATGTTTTCTTATTTATTTATTTATTTATTTATTTATTTTTAAGCTGATATGCACCTGAGTAAAACCGATCCCCCTGCTCCTCTGGCTTGGCTGCTGTGACCTGTTTAAATTCAGAGTATCAAAGACTTGACACAATTTCACGGTATTTGGATGGGTTAACTTGATTGCATCGGTGTGAGAACTTTTTGTCTGAACTTCACCAACAAGTGGTATCAACAGGGTCCGGGCTGGTGTTTGTTCATGCGCTTTCTGCCTGGTGTTGACATTTCCAGGCAATGTCATGGTGAAATACCATAAACTCATAAGCAGATCTCAAATCCCCGCTGTTCAGGCAGTGCGGGCTGGCTTTGAGAAAGCTGCCTTCTTTTTTAGAGGTTTCTGAACCCAATTTCAGAACTCGCAGGAATAAAAATACACAAAGAGCAATGTGAATAAGCACAGCACAACTGTGTGCAGTGCTAGTGATAACAAATCTTGGCCCTGTGGAGAACGGGACCTGCTGCTTATGCTGCAAAGCAGGGACAGAAAGCTGAGATGAGCAGGCGCTTCACAAGTGAGTGGTGGGTGTGCTCTGGGAATTTGCTTCTCTCCAACCCACCGCCCGCCCCCGCGTGGCCCCGGCAGCTTCCCAATGGAGACTCCATGGCCACGGGTGCCAGGACCCCGTGGCAAAACCCACCTGGGAGCCCCTGCTGCTCCTCGCCAGGGACGTGCTGCGACGGAGCCGCCGGCCTGGCCGGGCTCCTGCAGATCCCACAGGGATCACAGGGGCCGAGCCGGTGCCACCAACCCTGGGGAGCCCAGCATGAAGACAGGGGTCCCTCTCAGTACAGGTGCCCATCTCATATTTACACGGACAGGAGCTTTCTGTCAATGGCAGAGCTCCGAGGCAGAGCAGCACGCAGGACAACGAAGAGCCAAAGCAAAAGCATTTGATATTCGAGGTGTTTTTATTTTTTGGACATTTTGAAATGCATTTATGACTCCTGCAGGGATGAGGTGTTCTTGGCAGCGAGGGCAGGCTCAGCCYACACCAAATCGCAGCACTGCTCTCTTCCAGCTCCAGCAGGCTCATTTGCTTGTTGGGTTTGCATTGCTCTTCTGGTAGCACCTACCTTTGTTTCAACTTGCATTAACTTCTCAGAGCTGAATTGGAAAGATCAGAAAGATCCTTTTCCTGAACAGTAGACAGCAGGCGCCTTTGGTTATGTAAGAAATCTGCTTTCATAAAATAATGACTTAAAAATATATTAGAAAAACACCCTGACTCAGCATCCTCTCAGGATAACTCCTCTTTTGGTTGTCTCTGATTTTTCATGGGAGTCTACCCTGTGCCTTGTTTTTTTCCGCCTCAGCCTCGCTCCTAAAGAGCTCCTACACTGACATCTGGTGGAAGTGTCTCAAAGTAGCAGATCTCGGCCTAAACCGGAGCTCTTGGTGTGGCCAAAAACACCTTTGGTTATTTCGCCTTCAAAAATATCACCCCATCCAGGCTATTGTTCCCGTCCCCGTTGCAAAGTCAGTGGCACAAGCACAGGAGCTCAGATTTACCCCTCCAACCTATGCCTGTGTATACGATGTTACATATGTCCTTCCTTTACTGTAAAGGAATACAGTGTTTTCTTGCCCTGTAGAGACAGGGTTGTTTCTACAAATGAGGACATTTTGACAGAATGTCAAGCAGGTCTATCTTGAAATATACTGGGGTAGCAACTGTCCTGGTCACCAGGGATCTAGACTGAGCAAATCCTGCTGAGCTTTGCTGCATTGCTCTAATTTTATGAGATTTGGTCACGTAAATGTCTCTCGTCCCTCTCCAGCACCTGAGGGTGTGGGACAGTTGCTCAACACACCTTGTGCAGGTGCCTGGCTTTCTTTTCCACTCCAGGTGGCTGCCGAAAAGGTCTTTACTGCTCAGAAAGACGCTGTTCCAAAACTGCCATTCCATAAAGATTGGCCCATTCCCGCCCCTGGTGCGACAGGATCACTTCCTTGCAGGTCTTACAGGCCCCGGCCAGCTCTGCCAAGACCCCCTGGAAAGCAGCAAGGAGCTCGGGGTCCAGGGAGGCGCCGCGGGCCAGCGCGGCGGCGAGGCCCTGCAGCCAGCGCGCCTCGAGGACGGCGCGCGGCAGCCAGGGCACGAGCGGCACGCAGCCGGCCAGCGCCTGCATGCCCAGCAGCCAGAGCTCGCGCACGTCGGGCCACGCGCCCTCGTAGGCGGGCGCCACGGCCACGGCCTGGCCACGGCCCGGAACGTCGTGCGCCTCGGCCAGGAAGCGGATGGCGGCTCTGAAAAACTCCTTCGCTGGACAGGTACCCTGCAGGACTGAAAGAAATAGGGAATTAATGGAAGTGAGAGGCTCTCCTATGGATCAGCCTGTGGCAGAGCTTTATTTCTGGGGGAAAATGCCATATATTCCTGCTCTAGAGGAAGATCTCTGAATTAACACTGCTTCCCAGCTCACTGTTCTGCTGTGTTTTCTGTACATCCTCCTTCCTTTCTCCTTCCTCCTAAACCTTTAGGTTTTGTTTTATCACATTACTGAAGACAGAAGCTCCATGCAAAATTGGAGCCGATTCCCTTGTATCTGCTCTGTTCAACCCGAGCACTTGCGCCCAGTCTCTGCCCAGAAACAAGAGTCCCAGGCAACCCTGACAGTGACAGGAGTTTTTTCTTACCTGCTGAACTTGCAAGAATCCTGGCCATCATCAAGCCCAGAGTGGCAATGTTGGCTGCTAGAACCAGGTGATCTTTCTGCGGTAGCAGAATTGGCAGAGATTTCAACAACATGTCCATCAAAGAGGAAAAGCATTCGTCTCGCCTGGAAAGAAAGCAAACCCTGAGACACATTTCCTGAGCAGAGCCAGAAGCACCTGAAAATGTCAAGGTTAAACATAGTGGCCAAAAAATAATGTGATTGGCGTTGAAAACAGGGATGCCCCTTCTCCAGCAAAGATCGGGCAGGCTCACGTCACACTGACAGTCTTCAAACACGCTCTAGAGGCTCCGGGCCTGTTACCTGATAAGGTCTGGTGCAGTCACGACGAGGTTTAAGCAGATGCCACACAGAGTCTGCAGGCTCATTTCAGTGCTCGTCAGCGGAGTCGGGGAGCTGAGTTCTCGGAGCAGCAGCTGCCACTGCTGCAGGAAGTACTCGCACAGCAGCGCTGGTGCCCCTTCGCAGATGAGGATGTCCCGGGGCTTGTCCTCTGCTGTTAAATGGCAAAAGCCAGGGAGCAGAAATCTGGAAAGGGAAAGAGTGGAAATACAAGGAAGATGGCAGAGATCTGGGTCTGAGCCGTGCTGTTCCACACACCTGGGGAAAAAGGAGTACACAGAACTGGAATTGCACGGAGAATGGAGAACAGAAACTCGAGCTGAGCCTGTTTGTGCTGAAACACCTCAGGCAGCAGCATGTGCCAACTCTGTGCTTAGGATACCCACCTCAGAGCATCCTGGGGTAAGCGGGAGCCCTCGGAGCTGCCGAGCCCAGCCGGTGTCCCATCAGGCTGGGGAAGACTTGCAGCTGCCTCTCCCTCTTCAAAAAGCTTCTTGGCATAATGAACCAGGAAAGGCAAGAGCTCACAGATTTCCTGCTTGAGGGAGGATGTCTCTTCTGCCATCCAGGCTCCAAGGATTCGAACAGAAGCAAATATAAAAGGGTCATGCAGCTCCTCCTGCCTAACCTGCATCAGGAAGAAAGCAGACAGAAAATGAGACACTGTTCTCACCAGCTACCTCAGAAACGAAAACTCCACAGTGAACTGCCATAAAACAAACTATGTCCAGGCTGTGCACTACCTGTCTCAAGTAGAATATTACAGCACCAAATGCCTCCTCCATGATCCTCAAGAGCTGCATTTTCTGCACTTCTTCTAGCAGTGGCTTCTCTTCATTCAGGCATTCCTGGATCCCCATCTCAATAAGGACATAGCAGGCAGTTATCACTTCTTTCTTGCCCTCCACATCCACGGGATCTGGCTCCTCCAGAACGAGGCGGACCTCCACACACGCCAAGTTCACCAGCAAGGCCAAGAACTTGCTTCCTGCCCGCCCTGCTGGGATCCAGTCTGACCCACAGGCCTGCACGAGGCAGGCAGCAAGCTTCAGCGCCGGGTCCCGCTGGCTCTGGTCAAGTTTGCTGCCCAGGATGCTGGCCAGCCCTTTGTAAAGCTTGTGCAGGCACTCGGAGCCCTGCGGATCCTGCGCAAGTGGCGGGGACAGGGGGATGAAGCGAGGCAGGACCTCGCACAGCTCGAATTTGGACACGTCCCCAGCATTGAGGAAGTCGTCGGAGAGCTGGCCGAGCACGGCCAGGAGGTGAGGAGCGTCCTTCTGCCAGCACCTGGCCTCTGCGGCGGCCAGCAGCCCCTCGAGCAGCCGCAGGGCACGCTCGGAGCCGGCGCCGCGGCGCACGTAGGCCTGGCAGAGGGCGGACACGGTGCCTTTGGACACCAGCTCTTTGGGGCCCTTGCGGGTGGCCAGGACAGCAGCCAGGCACTGGTACACGTCATCCACCATGGAGGAGGTGTCCGGGCTACAGGGCGCAAGCAGGACGTCATTGAAGGTGGGGATCTTGTTCAGGATCTGGGAATGGCCGGCGAGCTGCGGATCGGTGCAGAAACAAGCGAGCAGGGTGAGGCCGAGCGCCTGGAAGGTGTGCTCGGGGCAGCCCTCCGGCGGCTCCCGCGACGCCAGCAGGCGGCTGGGCAACGTGAACCCGATCGCGTCGAAGATCTGGCGGCGGGTCCTGGCGTCCACTTCCCCGGCCCTGACCGCCTTGGTCACCTGCAAGACAAACCAGCGTGAGGGGCAGCGCGAGAGAAGCCTCTGCCGGGCTCTTTACGGGCCTGGCCAGGTAAATGGAAAGCAATGAAAAGCACAGCCCCCCCCCGGCTTCGCTTCGGCTTCGCTTCGGCTTCGCTTCGCGCGAGTCCCGCCCGGAGCGGCTCCTACCAGCAGCAGGGCCGCGAGCTGCTCGCTGTCGCTGCTCGCCTCCCGGAGCACCGCGAGGCAGCGCCTCAGCGTCGGGCGCCCTTCCCCCGCGCACGAGGCCATGCTGCGGAGCCGCCGCACACGCGGCGAGAACGGTGAAAACGGTGAAAACGCCGCTTTTCCTCGCGGAGGATTGGGGCCGCGCCGCTACGTGAGCGAGCGGAGGGGCAGCCCGGCCTCCACGTGCGGCCCGCTGCCTGCCTGCCAGCCAATCCGCGTGCCGCGCTCTCAGCGCCGGCCAATCCCCTGCCGCGTTTTTGAGCGGTAGCTGAAGCCGCCGCTCCCGCCGTGGCCGCGTGTGGGCAGCGCGAAGGGCCGTCCCCTTCCGCGGGCAGAGCAGCCATGGCGGCGGAGGCGGCGCGGCCGCGCGGCCCGGCGCGCTGCAGCCGCGGCCCCGCCACGCGCCCCTGGTACGTACCGCCGCCGCCACACTTCTCATTATTGTCATTTCTCTTTATTTATTGCTTGTTTTTCCGCGGAACCCGCCCGGGGAGCAGAGCGCTCCTTGGAGGAGCCTTTTGGGCTGGAAACGCCGGGAAGCGGCGCTGGGGAGGCCTGCGGGGCGAAGCGAGGCGCAGGAGCCTCGAGCTGCCGCCGTGCCGTCCCCGCCGCGCCGCCCTCCCCGGGTGCCGGCCCGCGATGGCACCGCCTGGCGCTGCCCCCGCCGCCGCGTCCTGAGGCCATGGGTCCCGCTGAATCCGGAGCGAGTGTCCGTGTATCCAAGCGGAGTGACCCGCTGAGTTCCCAGCTGGGAACCTCGCCGCTGGCGCTGCCCCGCTGCAGGGGCCGTGGGCGGGAAGGGGCCACAGGAGCCCTGGAAAAGGTTCCGGGGCCTCCGCAGCTGGAGGCTCTGCCGCTTTGGGTGTCCCCTGATGCTGACAGCGTCTTAGCAGCAGTCGGGCTAAGACGCAGCAGGTGAGATTAGGCATTCCCCAGCCTTATCTCCCGCCAAAAACCTTCCACAAAAGCTTCTTCCCCCAAAAGCTTCCACAAAAGCTCCGCGGGCGTCGTGTTGTTAACAGCTTCCTTTATAAACACCACTTGCTCACAGACACTCTCTCTTTCTCCCGTGTTTCCAGAGCCCCTCCGCTGCCCGCAGAGGCCATGGAGAAAAGGTTGGAAGTCCAGTCCAGCATCGGTGCCCGATTCCTGCCAGAGCCCGGCCCGGGACGAGCCGCGGGGCAGCTGCGCCTGCTCTGCCTGTGCGCCTGCCTCTGTGCCTTGTGCTCCTGCACAGGTGACCCTCTCCGCGTTTTTATTTGCATTTATCCCAGCTAATACGCTCTGAAAAGCAAGTGCAGTTTATTAGCTGTTAGGCATTGGCATAGGCGTCGTAAATAACCTTGCAAGCTAATTACTAAATAAGGAATACTTGAAGCTGTTGGGAAAGCCAGGAGTGTTTTTCAGCACTCTCAGGCAACTGAACACAGGATGTCTGAATTTACCTACACGTAATTATTGCGCTTGGTATTTATTTTCTGTTCAAACTCAAGCACCCGACCTCCTGCCCAAATAAATAACCAAATTAGTGGCTTGTATGGAAGTTTTCATGTGACAGGTCTTTTTGTTTTGTATTGAAAAGATTCAGAACATGACTATTCATAGAAAAGTATTAAGTTCCTGTGAGTGTTTTTGAGGCCAAATATTTGCCAGGATGATGATGTATTTTTCCCATGTGTTCACCCAGCACTTACCAAATGTTAGTGAAGATAAGAAAGTTTGTTCTGTGTCTTTTAGTTCTGTTCAAGTCATGGTGAATCACAGGTTTGAGACAATGATGACTTCAATATATGTTAACCTGCGTGATGGCTGCCAACTGCTTTGCCTTTAATGGAAGGTTACTACATCCTGACGTTAACGTGACAGGAAAAGCAAATTTTTTTTCTTCTCCTTTCGGTAGATGTGTTGTGTGGGCTGCCACAGGGTCCCTGTTATGCTGGGCTTTGCAGGATACTCAGCAAGTAATAGATCTGGTTAAGCTAGTGAGCTCTGTGACCTTAATCTGCTGATTTAGAACCTGAAAGACACGTTAATATCGCTGTTCTTAGCAAAGAGTGCTCAGTACTTAGAGTTTCGATGGCGTATCTGATGGAATGAGGATTTCCTTGTGGCCTGGACTTCCTGCTTAGTGCTCCCTGCCTTTAGTAACATTCCAGGAGCTTGGAACAAGAGCAGCGGATCGTACATTGTGTTAGGATTGGAGACCTTCTGGATGTGAGAGAGTTAAAACTGTGAAGGCTGATGTGGGTAAAGAGACAAGTATAATTATTTGTGTCGTAACTCTGCTTATGTGGACACTTTTTCCACATTGGAGTCACTGTTCTTTTGGTTTTATTTGAGTTACTTTTGGTAACTTTTGATACTTTTTTTATTTGGTGTTGTTTGAGTCTGTTAAACTGTACTTTGTTAAACTGGAGAGTGACCAGGATAGTGAAGGAAATGGTGTGATCATGCAGAGTTGTGTAAGAGGAACTATGTCGACATAATTGGTTGCATGTGACAGATTAGAAGAAGTCTATACAGTCAAGCTTTTAATCATTAATCAGAAATCAATAGGCATTAACTGCCAAAACAAGTTTTTGAAGTGGAGCTTATTAATAGAAACTGTTCTTGACCATTTAATTCCCCTGCCGTTCAGTAAAACGGAGCGGTCTAGCAAAACCAGAAACTCTGCTGCTTGAGCAGGACAGCTTTCTGTCTGTTGATATACTAAAGTGCTCAAATTACTGAGTACACACAGTATGCAATTGTCACGCCTGCTTAATTGGTTTAATTTCATCTATAGCGAACCCTGCTGAGTGTAATGCGACATAAATTCAGAATTCATCCAAATTACTCAACTTTTGTTTACATGCTGTGTAGAAATGGGGATCAGAGCATTATAATTTGGAATGAGACTTCCTTTTTTAAAATGAAGACAAAATTTTCCTTTTGTGTTGTGCTCAAGAAGTCCCTTCCTAACAGGGAGGGAGCCAGTCCCAGAATACAGTCTGCAGCTGCACAGCTCAGAATCCAGTGACATAGTTCGTAAAGTAATCTTCCAGTGACCTATTATCACTTGGATGCTGAACACAGCCCAGGGTAACAGTTCCATAGGTCATTAGTCTATTTTTAGGGAGTCTTTAATCTGTAGAGCTCTGAATTTTTGGAAGCCTTTAATCCACTGATCCATGCAAGCACTCTGGTTTTTTTTTCATGCTAAAAAAAATCCATATGCAAAGCAGTTGCTTCCTTACCCCTCATGTGAGATATTGAGCAACTTGACCCCCACGTCAGTCCTACACTCCGCATTCACCTCGACAGTAGTGGTGAGGATTTATTTTCCACTACGTTAAATAACTGAGAATTTTCTTTCTCTCTTTTCCCTCTCTCTTTCTCAGATGCAAATTGGAACAGATCTAAATGCCAGCCAGGGAAAATTTTGTTTGGTTGCCGTTTGAGATCGTGGGACGATGGCCACTTGCGGCTCCTGGAAGGATTTCATACTGTACAGTCCTGTCAGACTGCTTGCTGCCAGAGCCCTGCCTGTGATGCCTTTTGGTTCTTGGAAAATATGTGCATCCAGGTGAACTGCACTATGCCTGGCATATGTCAGGCAAACAGGACTGGCTCTTCCGACTCCGTTTTGGTGTTTTTAAAGAAGTCAAAAAGCACAGAGCACTTGAAGGATCACACAGAAGGTGATGCAAAGATCTGGCTTCACAAGTGGTTGGATGGGGGCATCTCTGCCCAAGATAGAAAAAGACTGCGGAGATCCTTCCAGAAATGGAACTTGGCAGGTGGCAGAGTGGATCTTCTTCAAAGGGATATAGTGGCTGTCCCAAGTGCTGAGACCACGGCTGGCCAGGCAGCTAGACCTCCAGAGAGCAAATCCAGAAGACGCCGAAGTGAAACAGTGTCGAAGGATCAAATACTTAGGTCTTTAGTGCCAGACAGGCCTGTTCCTGAAGACCATTCAGATCAAAAGAAGGACTCGCTTGAAAATGGACAGAATTCAAGAGAGCCGAAAACCAAAAGCCCGTTCCCTCCTAAAAGCAATAATGAAACCAGATCGAGTGATGCAAATGGCACTGGCCTTCTACAGGTAAGGGTGACTGCAGGGGCTGTCTTGGGCTGCTGCTCTTCTCCCGCTCTTGCTGTCTTCCCATGCGCAGCTCTGCAAGCCCTGGGAGATGGGGAAGCCTCAAGTCGTGGTGCTGCTCATCGCATGTGTAATCACACGACATGCTTGTTGGATCAGGAGCAAAGGTGGCATGGGATGTTAATGGGGAGTGCCTAGGAATTCAAAAGTGTTACTTACAAAGTAACTTTTTATGTCCACAAAATAAAATGAGCTGTTTCCTTTTGAGTGTACCAAACTGAGGCAGTAAGTGTATTGTTTTGTAAACTTACATGTAGAGTTTACAGTGTGTTTTCAGGTAGCCTGATGATAGAGGAAGAATCCTGCTTTGTGAAACTCTCTCTTAAATATCTTCTTCCATGTTTCCAAGATTTGACACTGTTGAAGCCGGATGCTTTTTCTAGTAGTTATTTTCTTGTCCTGGAACCTTAACTTGGTTTTTCTTTCCCTTGTTTGTAAACCTCAATTCCAGGTAGGGCTGTGACCCATCTGAGCCACCACCCTGCAGAGCAGGATGTGGAGAGCAGCCAAAGGACATGACTGCAAATTCCAGGGCAGCCCAGGTGCTATGTGAAACCAGGCAGAAAAACTTCACAAATGCTTCATGTCCCAGAACGCCACAGTGTCTAGGACTGGTTCATGAGCTCAGCTTACTTTTCCCCTGCAATACTGCAGCATTTCTACCCTACCTCTTCTTTCTTCCTCCTGATGATTTGAGATTTACACAGTGACCCCATTCTCCTAGCTGATGTGTGCAACATCTGAGGAGGCTTTTTTTTTTTTTTGCAGACAATCTTAAATGCTGCCTTTAGCTCTTGGATAATAGTTGTTCTGTCTCCCCGCTTGTTCGGTTTGCAGTGTTGCAGCACTGAGTTGCAGCTGGTTCTACACAGCCCTGGGCTGATTCCTTGATTATTGAATCATGTAGCTTTCATTGGCAAAATATAAATCAAGCTATGCAACTGTCCTTCCATTTCAGTTTAATTTGGGCCAAGGATATAACATTGAGAGCTGTGCACTTGGGATGTGGGCAGCCTTTGCAAGAGAGAGATGCTAAAGCCAGGAGTTTTTCCAAGTAGGTTTGGTGATAGGCCAAAATAAATGATGTTAACCACCTGCTGAAATCAATTGAATTACACTTGGGCTTCGTTTGATTGTGTTGAGCATGCTGCTTTAGCAGGTGAGTGCAGTGTGTTTAATACTTGTATTCGTAACAGAGCTTTAGTGGGACAAGAAATGCGAGGTCAGACTGGCCCTTAACTTCTCTCTAAAGGGAGAGAGAGACATTAATATGTGTATGCATCATTTCTGGTGAGGAAGCAGCAAACCATCTATTTTGTTGGGGAAAAGCAAACAAGGACATCTTCTCTTCCTTGAACTGGAGGTGGTGAAGTCTCGGTTCTAGTGGAGTTTGATGGATGGTAAAATCCAGAGGATTTGGGATCCACTGTGAAACCAATACGGTGAAATAAACAAAGCTAACATTCAGGCTTCAGTCAAATGAAGATTATTTTTTCCTTTCCAGGTCCACCCAGGAACAACTGCACCAGCACCACCAGCGTTGGCTACATTCTCCAGTCCTGTAGTCCAGGGCTTGACAGCCATTGGGAAGACTGTGAAACCGAAGCAGCCAGATGATGCTTTAGTCCATCCTCACTCCTCAGACGTATTGCCCACCGTCAGTTCTGTGAAGGGGAAAGCCACAATGAGGATGGAGGTTGCTACTTCTGTGCCAACTGGTGTTCCTACAAATGACAGTGGTCCCGCTGTCCCAACTGGCGCTGCCGCATCACCAAGTACTACTGTCCCTGCCCCAGGTGAGGACACACAGTGCTCTCCATTTATGGAGATTTTTTTGGCAACCTGTGGCAACATTGAAAAACACTGGATAATTTCAGAAACAACTGAAACTGAAATTTAATTTTTAAATTTAATTTTTAAATTATGCTTTAATTAAAAGTGTATTGAGAGAGGTTCTTCAGCACAGTAGGTCCCCATTAACTCAAGAAGCCTAACAGATCTGCATGTGACTGTTGGATCTGTTTCTGAGCACAACTAGAAAGTAATGATGATATCTTCACTCCAAAATTGAACAATGAGATTTGATGCAAGGCATAACCATGTGGAACGTTCTTTGAGCGGTGATGACATGTCACTGTCTATCAAGTTGAGTAGAAATCTTGATGTCTGTTCACTGTGGATTGTAACTGATTGCCTCCTGCCCACCCCTGAAATGTCAGTGCACAGTTTAGATGCAGAGAAATGTGCACTTGGCCATGAGCCATGCGTTGCTTTGCAGAAAAATGACTTGTTTCTGTTCACATAGATATTTCTTAAAGCAACAATTTGAAATTGTGGAGAAGCAAAAATGCACTTAGGCTAGTTTGGTTAGCCCACCCAGGCCATTAGCTCATCCTTCAAGGATGTGTGCTTACATGGAATGCTGTGGACTGCTTGTGTGACATCTCAAAATGCTCTTAATCCAGTGTGCTGCAGTAGCCGTGGCAGAAGGCTTTTGAATTTAGGGTTCCTTTTCCCTTAGAAGGGAACAAATGGAAAGTGTAATAGAAATGTTGCATTCAAAGACTCTTTTTTGGCAGGAAGCTAATGAGTGCTTATACTAACAAGTTGCTATGTTTTTTTGAAGACTAATCCAACTGAAGCTGGAAAATATATATTAAATGTTTTAAGTGGCTTGTGTTGGAAAATTAATGTAGCTAGGGCCTTCTTGTTTCACTAAATAATACAAAGATGATGTGAAGGGGGGGATCCAAAAGGCTTTGGGTTTTTTTGTTTGTGTGTTTTTTTTTTCTACTAGAAGGTCACATTTCCCTTTGCTTTGGGATTGAAAGACTGTTAGAGTTATAGTATCATGGGCAACTGAGTAATTAAGAAGAAAAGGAGGGTCTGATGAAATTGTTTTAGTTACCTTATTAATTCCAATAGCTAGTAAACCACTGGGAGGAAGGCTAAATGTTTGATAATGTTTTCTCCATCTTTTTAACTTTTGGTGCATGTATCTGAAATATTATATTCATCAGGGTCCACCTAGGTAATAGTAAACTTTAATTCTTCTAGACATAATTCTAAAGCCCCAAAATTAAAAAAAAACAGAGACGGAAAGAGGAGGAGGTGGCAATGAAGAGATGCCTTTAAGAAGTGCGGTCAACTTTCTGGTTGTCTTAATGTTAATAATGATCAGGAAAAAATACCATAGGCATATTTTTCATGTAAATTGCTGAAATTGCTGTGCAGTACATGGCAATGTTTGTCTTGCTCTATCTGTGTTAGTGCATCTGGGTTTTCTCCTGAAAGCCTGTCAGGTAAAAGCTTTCTCCTGCTGGACCTGGGTGAAGAGAGGCCCTGTAGGAGTCGGGAATCCTGTTTCACCTCTTTGCAAAAGGAGCGGGAGAGGCAGAGAGAGACAGACAGAGAAAGATTTGACTGAGTAATTTTGGCTTTAAAGCTGTAAAACCTCATTAGTGCTTTTGCATTAAAAATGAGTCTGAAACATGAAACATATAAAAAGATCTATACTGAATGGCGAGATACTAATAAAAATCAGCCATTTGTATCTGGCTTTTATTGCAGACTTTGAAACCAAGGTGGATTTTGTGTATGTATTTTTTTTTTCTATTTCACTTTTATGTGTTTTCTTCTTTCCTCTCCCAGTTATAAAGGAGCTGGTAGTGTCTGCTGGAGACAGCGTCCAAGTGACCCTGCCAAAGAATGAAGTTCTTCTGAATGCGTTTGTGCTTCCTGAACCGCCACCTCGTAAGGCTTCCCTGGGAGTTCTCCTAAGGGCACGTGATGGGGAAATGACAAAAAAATCTTACATACAGCAGTAAATAAGGACACTGATGAAAATAGCTTCCAGCAGAGAAGTTTCCTGTAGAAACTAGATCTCCTGTCCTGTTACCTCATGCAGCCTTTCACGGAAAATAGCAAGAGACCAAGTCTTGAAAATGTCACAAAGTCACTAGAGTATTTTGGGGAATAACTTATTCTCAAAGTGCTACGGGAGGAGGCTGTGGCTCTTCAGCTGGTACTTGCTTGCAGGGCTTGTTACAGACTGTAAATGTGCTTAGCAACACAGATTGTCTCTTTTCATGGATATGTTCCCCAAAAGCTGCTGTGTAAACACCAGGCTGCTGTCTTATTTCTCTGTAGTGCAGCAGGATGGACCTTGTAAATGTTTAATGCCTTTGCTTTTCTTTATCATGACAGAAAGGAAAAGGCGGTCTCTTAAGAATTAACTTCTACAACTCTTTTCTTTTAAAGACACCAGTTACTCCTATGAGTGGGAACTCATTACTCACCCAAAAGACTACAGTGGAGAAATGGAAGGGAAGCGCTCCCACATCCTTAAGTTATCTAAGGTAAAGCTTTTGCTGCTTAGTATCCTCCTGTGTGGAATGCCAAGCGGAGAGGATGGGAACCCTGGCAGCCAGGAAAGACTTGTATGTGATTTTAGGATGAATAGGAAATTGCATGATGGGCAGACAGCCAGCATTTGACTGCAAGCCTTGTTGTAAGTCTCTTATAAAAAGAAGATTGATCTGTCATGGGGGGAAAGAAGAAATTGATTTCAGGATCTAAAAACTGCCTCCAAGCAGCATGTCAAGCCATATACAAATGGCGTAATTTAACAGATGTCTATGAATATTTCTTTTACTGAGAGAGTGTGGTAGTCAATTTAGGTCTGAAGCCTCGTTACTCCTTACTGAACAAGAGAGTCCAAGGAATTCCGTGACACTCATTAATGGAATCAGCATAGCTAATCCAACTAATGATAGCTCTAACCAGGGAAAGGATTGTTGGCTTTTTGCACATGAGGTTTCTTTGAAAGACTTGGAATAATGCATGATGACAGCATTTTGCTTTTTTGGGAAACTCTCCTGAGTGTTTTGTATTCTAATGTGATCAAAAATATTTACAAGCCTTAATTGTGGCACCATGCAGGAGAAAACCTTTCAGGAGGAGCATGTCTGTCTTCTCAGGGTTTCAGCCTTTTGGACAGCATAGTGATTCTGGTGTCTAGTCCTTAGCCTTTTCCTTCATCCCTTGATGCTAATCCAAAAGAGGATGCTTGCCTGCCTCATACCGTCTAAAAGAGATGCTTTTCTTTGTAAAGATGCACAAGAAGAGATTTTCTTCTCTTACAGGCAGCCTTCCTCATCTCAGATGCAGTCTGCTAGCACAGATTCTGCAAGCCAGACACCTGAACTAATCTCTTCTCTTCTGTTTGCCTCTTGTTGCTAGAAAAGCAAGCTTGACAGGCACCCCTGGGTCACCTGTGACCAAAAGAAATAATAGACCTTGGTTTCTGTTGTAGCCATTGTAAACTAAAAGATACCTACCATTGCTGTGGCTTGGAAACCATCCTCTGCCTTATATGTAGAGACAGGGACATAATTACATGTGCTTATGCTCCTAACGTGGTACTAGGCCACAGCGTGGTAACTTGGCTTTTTAGTAATTCCTGGCAAGTTTCTACTACTGCAAGTTAAATGATATTTTGTCTTTGCTTTTCAGCTTACTGTTGGTCTCTACGAATTCAAGGTCATTGTTGATGGGGAAAATGCACACGGAGAGGGTTATGTGAACGTGACAGTGAATCCAAGTGAGTTCAGAGGAACTGCATCTTTTCATCTGTCTCTGTTAAACCATGATGCCTGTATAATGATGGTGTTTGACTTAGTTGACCTTGGATCGACACAGTGAGAATTCCTTATGTTGTGAACTCAGTATACATACATACATGTATATTATTTATAAGTGTGTTAAACCGTTTGCTACAATGTGGAACTACTACTAATACACCCAGCTATCTCTTCTATACTGGGCACAGACTAAGCATCCAGTTAAAGAACTGGAATTCTGCTTCAGAAGCGCTTAGCAAATGCCTGACCCTGGAACACCACTGCTTCACTAGAAACTAGCTGTAAGCGGGTAAAAAGCTTAGAGCAGCAGGAGCAGAAAATGAAGGAAAGCCAGAGCTTTGAAGCTCCTTTCAAGGTTCTTTTCTTCCTTGTGCAGTAAGGAATATCGTTCCCGTACACAGGCAGGTTAAATCAAATCTAATTCCCTACTGTAAGATGCTTTAAAGTCATGGTTTGCAGATGTGCTGTTGTAAATACCAGGAGCCTGTGCTGACTGTAGCACCAGGTCTCCTCTTAGACAGTCTGTGTAAAAGGAAAGGTCGCACCACAGGTTCTGCATCTCCTGATGTGCAAAGGAACTATATTTTGCACACTTACCTGAGACTTTTTCCAGAACATTTGTGGCCAAATAAGTGCTCTTGTAGTCCAGAAATCTGCAAGAGTGTTCAAGAGCAGTCATTTCTAGCAGGGTTGGGGGGGAGTGATAGGACTGCATAGAGGGAGAAGGGGTACACAGCATGTATCCTGCCAACCTCTCCTCTGTGCAAGAGCTGAAGAGCTCCCAAGAGGGGCTTGGGCAGTTTCCTTGGGTTTCAAAGGGTTTCTTGGTGATTTCTGTCATTATCTGCCTGTAGATGTCAATGTAACTGCTTGGTGGTTGTTGCAGAGCCTCGGGTGAACCAGCCCCCCGTTGCCATCGTGTCCCCGCAGTTCCAGGAGATTTCACTGCCGACTATTTCAACTGTTATTGATGGCAGCCGTGAGTACCCGCTGCGTTCAGTGCAGTAGGCTAGCAAGCCTGGTGTGCTTGCTCCTGGGCTAGCCCTTTCGGAGCGAGTTTAAGAGGACGTGTGCTTTTTCTTTCATAATTGAAACAGAAAGCACTGATGATGATAAAATTGTCAGTTACCACTGGGAAGAACTGAAGGGTCCTTTGCGAGAGGAAAAGGTTTCTACTGATACTGCCATATTGACACTGACCAACCTGCTACCTGGGAATTACACATTCAGGTAGGTTCTTCCTGGAAGAATTGATTTAAAAAAAAAAAAAGAATGTAGCTTTATACCTTTTCTTCAGGAAAAATAATTAGATAAGCTATTCAGGTTTTATTTTTAAATTGTAGCACATTTGGATGATGGCAGAAGGAAACATTAGTCTGTCAGAATACGAAATACCGTGAATCTGTTTTCTAAAAGGAATATGCTTGTCCCAGATAATAGAGTGTGGCCTATTTTCTGCAAATGTCTGGGTAAAAGATATTAGCTGATACTATTCTAATGTTTGTTCTTACATGTTTCTTCTTTGGGATGTGCTTTGGTGTGATGTCCATGCTCACTGCAACCATGGGACTATTTTAAATAAAATTAACTTGAATACTTGAATACCTACAACCAGTTGTATGTTTTTGTCTTAGGCAGTCGGTATATGAACTAGCCAGACTGCTGTTTGTGTCTGTTTAGCAAAAAGCGGTTCTGTTTGTGGTATTAGCTTACTTGAAGAGGAATACTGTCTGCAGGCTGTGGGTTAGGCAGCTCCCACCCTCTTTGTTTTGTATTTTGTATTGTTTTTTTTTTTTACTGTTAGCACTTTTTTTCTGTCTTCAGTCTAACAGTAGTGGACTCGGATGGTGCCAGCAACTCCACCACTGCAAGCTTGACTGTGAACAAAGCTGTGGATTATCCTCCAGTGGCAAATGCAGGCCCAAACCAAGTGATCACCCTGCCTCAGAACTCCATCACCCTCTATGGGAACCAGAGCACCGATGATCACAGCATTGTCAGCTATGAGTGGCTGCTGAGCCCCAACAGCAAGGGAAAGGTGATGGAGATGCAGGTCAGTAGAAGTCTCCTCTGCTCATCCTAAAGTACTCAACAACTGTCTTATTTCTATAATTAATTTTAAATGGTGTGTATTACTATGGTCACATTGATGGAATAAGAAAGTCCTTGAATCAGGTTCACAGTGTGCGTTTGTACATGGTTCCCCAGAGATGTCACTTGGATTGGTAACCACTGAATCTTCTTAATATGTGAATGTGTTTTCTCAAAGGGAGTGAGGACACCAGTCTTACAGCTCTCTGCAATGCAAGAAGGTGATTACACTTACCAGTTAATAGTGACAGATTCTGCTGGGCAGCAGTCTACAGCAGAGGTCACTGTTATAGTCCAGCCAGGTAAGTGGCTCTTTGAAAGGACTGCTGTAGTAAATTAATAGGAAAAGTAATGAAGGCTGCTCTTGCCACCTCCATGCCAGTGTTCTGTGTTGTTCTGAGAGCATACTGTAAATCCTGGAATAAGGTGTGGGTTGTTTTCAGCAAGCCTGCTGTAATTCAGGACCTTTCTGACCCTGGCATATTGCTGATAAACTGACAAAAGATTACTGGAATATTGCCTTAGACAGTGTAGTTATTAAGAAAACATCTGTGTTGTATTTAATATTACTCAACCGTAATGACAGTGTTGTATTTACTGGGAGTTGTTTCTGCCCGTAGTGCTAAGGAGCAAGAAAAATGAGAGCAAAAAACCAAGACTCCTGAGTTTCATTCATATTAATGCAGGCTTGTGAATGAAGTTCTGGACTGAACTACTTTTTATTTCACTTTCTGTGAGTACAAGGTCAAGATAATGGGCAAGAAATAAGTTAGGGAGCATAGGCTAGGAAACACGGAGAAGCTTCTTTATGCTGCGGGGATTGAGCTTCACCTTTCTAGCATATGTTTGAAAAATACTGCAATTCCTTTTCAGAGAACAACAAGCCCCCAAAGGCAGATGCTGGTCCAGATAAAGAACTAACTCTTCCTGTAGACAGCACCACTCTAGATGGCAGCAAGAGCTCAGATGACCAGAAAATAGTCTCCTTTCTCTGGGAAAAAACACGGTGTGTATCATTTTCCAGACTATTCCTGTGCAAGTATCAGATCTTGCTTCTTGTTCTGGACAATATAGTTGCCTGCTTGCATGTTAGACATTGGCATTAGGCATTTCCAGTGGTTGATATAAGGTTTAAACAGCACTTTGTACTTTGGTTAGAGGCCCAGATGGTGTCAAGCTGGAGAATGCCAACAGCAGTGTTGCCACTGTAACAGGCCTTCAAGTTGGAACCTACGAATTTACTCTGACAGTTAAAGATGAGAGGAACTTGCAGAGCCAAAGCTCAGTCAACGTGATTGTCAAAGAAGGTACGTCCAGCCCTGCTCAGAACTGCCCCCGGTATCACAGGAGACCCAGGCATCTCTGTGAGCAGCTCAGCAAACCTGTGTTCAGAAGCGACATAAGAGTAAAGAATGTGAAAAATAAGGTGGAGACCACTGAAATGGTCTTCTCTATGCCCAGGGTTTGCCTTATCTGGAGGAATAGTATCTGAACTGAATTCCACTGCGCTTAATTTCCCTTCTTCTCCCCAAATTTAGATAGGTATTTATGACTTACAGTAGAGATTTAGTTCCGTAGTTCTTCCTTGGTCATCAACATATTTTTCACCATTTTTTTTTCTGTTTGGTTAGAGATAAACAAGCCACCAGTTGCAAAGATTGCTGGAAACGTTGTCATCACCCTGCCAACAAACACAGCTGAACTGGATGGATCGAAATCTTCTGATGATAAGGGAATCATCAGCTACTTGTGGACCCGGGATGAGGGGAGCCCTGCGGCTGGGGTAAGGTAGTGGTGGTGATTATTACTGTTACTAAGGAATTTGCAATACTTCACCACAATGAAAGAGTCAATGAGGATTGGCTTTGACAGGTGGCTCCTGAGGCAATGTGAAGCTGATCATTTCACCAGTTACCCTTTTAGTTATATCTTTAAATGTGATGACAATATCATGCTAGCTCGATCCTCCGTTTCCTGATATTTATTTTGCTGTACCTCCCAGGAAGTCTTAAACAATTCAGACCATCACCCTGTCCTCCTCCTCTCCAACTTGGTGGAAGGGACCTACACCTTCCATCTCAGAGTAACAGATGCCAAAGGGGAGAGTGATGTGGAAAGGACCACAGTGGAAGTCAAACCTGGTGAGTATATTTGTTCATTGTACTTCATGCCTGTCTACAGCGCGTTAATGAGGCCCCTCTTTCTGGATGCACTGTGCTGTGATTGTGTACTCCAGCTGGGGGGTGTAAATGGTCAAAAGCATTTGGGGAAATGGCTGTAACTTCATTTAATTCTCGAGGGCTGAATAAAGATCATAGGCCTGTATCCCCTATTGCAGTGAGATGCTGTAGTTTTTTCCTTCATAGAGGAAATGTTTGGGAAAGATGATAGACCTGTTTGGTACCCATGCTGTCAAATAAAATTCTAAAGATCTGTCTTCTCATCCACATTCTTCCTAGATCCTAGAAAAAACAACCTTGTGGAGATTATTCTGGATGTTAATGTCAGCCAGCTAACTGAGAGGCAGAAGGGCATGTTCATCCGGCAAATAGGGGTTCTCCTGGGGGTCCTCGACTCGGACATTACCGTACAGAAGATTCAGCCATACACGGAACAAAGGTAAGGCGGATGTGTGCAGTAATGCACTTAGTTTTTACTAAAGGTGGAGCTGTTTAAAGTACATGGAGCTCTGAAGTGCTTTGCCTAAAGTCATATGGCAAGTCAGCAATAAATCTGTAATTAGACTTGAGACTTTTCTGGCTTCAGTTACGTATTGATTCCTCTATGTAGGTGTTGCCTACTGTAACAGTAAAATGAGCATTCATTATCTGTGGCAGTTAAGCCAGAGTTCAGAACAGAAGACTCAGGGCTTTCTGTTTTAATACTGCCTTTCCATCTTGGCCCTGACCAGACAAGTTCTTCCACTGAGTGAAGCAAGTAAGGGTTCTTGTAATACTTTATCTTCCTCAGCCAAAAGATGTGTTTATCACCTGCCCTAAAGGGTTTTCTACTGTATGACCAAATGTGTACTGTTTTTGCTCTCAAGATGCAGCCAGGTTTGATATTTCCATATGTTTGCAGTTCAAATAAATATGAGGTTTCAGATAAGGTTCTCTGTAGTGGCAGATGAAGGGGGAGAAAATGGCTTTCTACCTGATGTTTGGAGAAGCAGCAGATACAATAATTTCTCTGCCTGACTTGCAGCACCAAGATGGTCTTCTTTGTAAAGAACCAGCCTCCCCATCAGATTTTCAAAGGCCGTGAGGTAGCGTGGACGCTCAAAAATGAACTCCGGAAGCAGCAGTCTGATTTTCTCATTTTTCGGGCGTTAGAAATTAACACAGTCAGTAAGTAAGAGTGTATGGCCTGACATGTGCTCCGCCCTCCCCAGATGCTTGCGAGATACCAAAGTCATTATTTATTAGGCATTTTTTTCTTATGTTTTCTTTGTTATGTTACTAGCAAAGCGGGGCTTTTCTGGTTTATCATGAGGCCTAGACACAGGCCATTTTCCTGTTCCAGCTTCATGCGAGGCACGTTATACTCATTGTTTGTCTCCTGTCTTTTCTTTGGCCTTTTTTTTCTCCACTCTTCCAGGATGTGGGGTGGGAGCTACAAGTTGCCTTGTTTTGCCCATGTGCTACCCTTGTCCTCTAAGTGGGAGGTATAAAACATGCCAAACTATTCAATAAGCAGTGGTTTAACCTTGCCCATAACTCATGCAATTCACCTTGCTGATTTTGGTCCCCAGCATGTCAGTTGAACTGCTCTGAGCATGGACGCTGTGACTCCTTCACCAAGCGTTGCATCTGTGACCCCTTCTGGATGGAGAACTTCATCAAGGTGCAGATGGGGGATGGCGAAAGCAACTGTGGTACGTGCAGTCTTCCTGGGATTGCTCATCTTTAGGGAGCAAAGAGTGCCCGAACGCCAGGGTAGGCTGAATACCTTGAATTAAGGTATTCTTGAATACCTAGTTCAAGAATAACAGAACCCGCTTTCTTCCAGTGTCTCTGACATCATATTTGGATAAGGAGCTAGTCCCAGTCTAGATCTTGCTAATTGTACCTCTTTGACAGGGAATATTTGGTAGGGAAGAGGCTCTTCAGAACCTCTTAATGAACATTTACTGAAGAACTGAATCCATTCCTAATGTGTAAAGTGAACCTCTTTTCTGTCATGCCCGCTACGGAGACTTTCTTGTTGCAGAAAAGCAGATTTTGTGAATCGGCACACACTGTCAGAAATGCCCCAAGGCAGAGAGGTTTGTACAAGAAATCTGAGCGGTGGGACTCAGACCTCTGGCGTCTCTAGGTGAGCCAGTGGTGCTGTCAGTGATGGATGGTAGGCTCTGTAATTCAGCAAAGGGCCATCCCTTCCTTTCCATTTCTCAAGAATAGTCATCTAAAGTCCACACCGTCAACTGTATGAGGTACCAAAATGTCTTTATCTCTGGGGGGTTTTGCTTTCAGAATGGAGTGTGCTGTATGTGATCATTGCATCTTTCGTCATTGTGGTTGCCTTTGGAATCTTATCCTGGATGGTGATCTGCTGTTGTAAGAGGTGGGACTGAGCCCATAACCCGCACTGTACAAGTGCTTCAACAAGGGGCTGCATTAGGAGGTGGAAGAGGTTCAAGCCCATAGTCCCTTGTCTGCTTAGTTGTATGATGTTAGTTTTTGTCCTTTGGTATTTCAAGTGAAGCAATAAGGTCCTAGAACTCTAGGTTCAGTTTAGAAGCAAGATTTGCCTATAATTGCGCAGATTAAGCAATATTTTTAAGTGTATTGCTTTCTTATATGAACGTAATTGGAAATAAGCGAGTAGTACTGTAGCTTTTAAGATCAGAGTTATTCTTCTGACTAGTTTGGAAGTGGTCTGCATCTTAATTCCTTTCCTTCCCCTTTAGACGAAAAGGAAAATCTAAAAGAAAAAGCAAATACAAGATTTTGGATGCAACGGATCAAGAAAGTCTGGAGTTAAAACCAAATCCCAAAGCAGGTAAAACGTGAGAAGAGCTCAGCATTTCCAGAATGCTAAGAACACCGCTCCTCAGTGCGTTTAAAATCACAGACTGAAACAAGCTTAATGTTAGACACTGCCAGACAAGCCTCAGAGGAGCGAGGCAGAAGTGGGAAAGTATATGAAGAACAGGCCCACAAAAAGCTGTGTAGGAATTCAGCTGTTGAAGTGGTCATTTCAAATGAAAATATTTATCATGTTTGTATTAAGAGGACAGTCTTTTTCAATTGTGCATGGAAAGTAATCTCTAATCCTTGTTTGCTCGTGCAAAGTAATTGCTCATCCTAGTTTTATCTAGGATAAAACTATCTATCTAATTGTGTTCCAGCAAAGTGAGCAGGGCCTGAGGACAGCATTGGAGGGCTTTGTCCCAACGGTGCTGATCAGATCATTCCTCTGAGAATCAGATGTCCCAGCTGCACAATTTCAGATCCCCTTGAAGAGTGGGTGCCTTTTTCTTCCTTAGCACCTAACTCTGCTTTTATCCAACCATCTGTCAGCTCACGCAGAAGAATCTCACTGTCAAATAAAGGGCTCGTTGTCTGCAGTCTGCAGCAAATGTGTCTCCACCATTTGCTCTCTCGGTAACTGAAGTTATCTTGCTGCTTCTGAGGCGGGCTGCTCACTAAAGTCTTTCCTCTTACATATGTGCAGGGAGCCTTCTGCTAGCAGGGGAAATGTTGCATTCCTCCATTAAGGAAAAGCTAAATTTAATTATTTTCTCTGCTGACAGTAAATACCTGTCTCCTCTCCTTGTGCCTTAATCTAAATTCAGCCCATTAATTTATCTTGTAAGCAAGAGGAGGATAGTAAGAAACGCAGTGAACTTCTCACCCCTGCAGATGCTTTTTGCCCTCGGGTTGCTTTCCAAACGATGCCCTGGGCAAAGTCAGGCAGGCAAAGCTTTACATATAATTGCAGCCTCTTTTGGTAACATAATTTGTTTCCCTACCTGTGTGTTGTGCTTTGCAATATCTCACAATGTATGGCCTCTGTCATGCCAAGTTAGGTTAAACGGGACCACTTTGTCTTCAACACTTGAAGGAGTAAGTGACAGATCGAGGAAGGCCCCCTTGGCATGTGAAAAGAATGACGCTTAAAGGGAGAGTGAAACAGTGTCTTTGATGACCAGAATTAAACCTGGATCTGACGTGGGAATGTCTCCTTCCAAGGTGGCAGGCAGAAAGCCCAGCTGCACAACACCAGCCTGATGCACTCGGAGTCCGAGCTGGACAGCGATGAAGCCATCTTCACGTGGCCCGACCGGGAGAAAGGGAAGCTGCTCCGCAGCCAGAACGGCTCCCTGCGCAACGGACAAGTGATGCTCAAGGCCAAGAACCAGAGGGAGGAAATCCTATAGCTTCCCCCAGGCTTTTGGCTGAAGCTCTGTGAAAGCTGCTCCTATCCCTGTTTTATAAGGGGGCTTTGGAGGTCGGTTTGGTTAGGACTGTGCTGCTAACTTGTTTCAGAGAAAATAACTTTGTGGATTTCTTTTAATTCAGTTAAAACTGGTTGTACTTGAATTGGACCGTCAAGGGAAATCAAAGGGAGGAGGAGACAACTGTGAACCACAGACTACTTGTCAGGAAAACCACAGAGCTGGCATCTGGGATGCAGCGGGATAGAACCACTTGGAGCAACTGTGAATGTGCCGGACACTCCCAGCCCACCTCAGACTGCAGCAGAGGGAAATGCCCAGGACCTTCCAGGTCATTGGCCATGGGGCTCCTTGGAGAAGGAAGGTCAAGGCTGAGCTGTGCTCTGAGCTCCCTTCAGGCTCCAGTAGCCTTGCAACGCTACTCCTGCTGTAGAACAACTCTTCCCTTTCACTCCCACCTTCCCTAGTCATTTGAGCACTACTTTTCATTTGAATTTGAACCTGTCCTTTCACATGCATTGGCTTTTTGGAGCATACAGGAGAGGGGATCTAACCTCTGTGCTCACACTCCATCAACCTGCAGCTGGGAGCGGGGTTTGGAGCTGTTCTCCTTGGGAATGTTGAGGACGTGGTGCCTGCTCCGGAACGCTGACCCGTCTGTGCTGGTTGCTGGGCTGGGAGCCCCTCTCCTGCTGGGTGCCAGGGCCAGGCAGGGGACACCCACCTCTGGTGCCTGGTGTTTCACTTCACTCCAAATCTGTGAGATCTCCTGTGGCCCCAGCAACCTCCTTGGGTCCCCAAGCCCTCCGTGCAACTGGCTGTTACCAGCTGTATCCTGATTACGCCATGGACTCTTAATGTTTTTTTTCTTAAACTTTGCACATCCCAGGCCAACGGGGGTTGGTGTCCTCAGTCCCCAGTGGTTGGCTCTTTCCCTGGAGCTGGAGGCCTTGCGTTGTGGCTCGGTTGTCCTGCACGTTGGTGGCACGACGGGACACCCACATGTAATGTCCCTGAGCCCGTGGAACAGGGACATCACCATCCCCGCGGGCCTCGGCAGCACCGCTTCCCTGCTCCTAGACTCCGGGAAACGCTTTTCCAGGAATCAGGTGGGTGGTGGCCCTTTCCTAGCCCTGCTTCTTCATCTCCCTGTGCTGCTTTCACGAGCTGCACCCCTGTCCCCGGCCAGCAAGGGGCCGCTCACTGGTGTGAAGGATGCTGCTGCTCCTCCAGCGACGGGCACGCAGCTTCTTGCCTTTCTTCGTGTTAATTTATTAAAACTGGAAACCTGTTTAATCGGCTTTTTGGGGCTGTGAAAGCCGAGAGGCTTTAACTTCCTTGGTTGTATTTATATTGCTGCACTACTGATTTGTCTTGAGCTAGATGAAGATTAAACACTCTTGAAAGCGAGGGACGGTTCCCTCGCTGAATGTAGCCCTGGCTGCGGCTCTGTTTTTCTGGGCCCCAGCCCCGGGGGCCGGGTGGGTCTGGGCCTCGACTCGTCCTTCGGGGGCTCCCGCTCAGCCCTGGGGTGGCCCCGGCTCCTTCCCTGCGTGGGGGGCCCACACGTGGGGATGGGGATGGCTGGACCCCATCTTAACTCTCCAGTGCCACCAGCCCCTGCTGCCTTTCCCTGCCCTTGGGTACCAGATAAACAAGCAAAGAGAAAATGAGGAACAGATGAAAAGGGGAAGCTGGGGGGGTGGCAGGCTCGGGCCCGGCCCTCCCCCTGGCTCTGTTCCACCGCTGGAGCGCCGCAGGGCTCTCCTCGTGCTGCTCCGGGGGCTGCTGCGCGGCGCCCAGCGCCGGCTCCTCCTCGCTGCCCGCCCGGGAGCCGCACGGGGCGGTTTTAAGGCAGCCCTGGCTTCCTATTATGGAAGAGGGAAGCGCTGCCCTCCCTGCGGCCCTTCCCAGCCTTTCTTGGCCTTCCCTGGCGCTGGGCGCAGCGCCCGCGGGCCCTGTGGTGCCGCCGGGGCTCCCTGCGGCCCCCGGCGCGCTCCCGGCTCCGGGGGCAGCGGGATCTGCCCCGGGCAGCCGAAGGGCGAGGGAAGCAGTGACCGCTGTGAGGCCCCGGCACCAGCGTCCAGCGCAGGAGCTGCGAGCTGGGCCCTCCAGTGCCCTGTTACTGCTGCCCTCCGTCACGGCGGGTGTGTTGGGAGCAGATCCCTTGGTGGAAAGCACCTCTGCCCCCCTAGCTCCACTAGCGTCAGTGCTCACAGCGGCAGCGGGGCCTTTCTGCAGTGCTGGGCGCTGGGGTTCACAGGGGCTGGGGGCAGACGAGGCCGTTTCACAGCGGAGGTTGATTCACAGCGGAGGCCGATGACCTTCCGCGCCGCCCTTGGCCCAGGCTCGTCCCCCCTGGCCGCTCATTCAGGGCCCCTAAGGTGACGAGGGGACCCCAGGCCACGCGGGGGCTCCGTGGCGGCCGCGACCTGCCGCCCGGCCGGCCCCACGCGCCGCCGTCTCATTGTTCACACAATCCCTTTTCCACACGCGGTGCCAAAGGCTCCGTGCTCGCTCCCGCACGCGCCAGCGTGTTCAGCTGCCTCGGAGCCGCTACCTCTCCTTATATAGCAGAGGCCAAACGAATTTCGCGCTCTCATTATTAATAGCCCCGGCGGAGCCCCGCGGAGGCTGCCAAAAATAGCAGCGAGCGGAGCCGCGGGGGCCGAGCCTCCCTGCGCCCCGGCTGCCCGAGCCAGGTGCAGAGCGGGGCGGCCGCGAGCCCCGTGCGCCGGCCCGGGGCAGCGCCCGGAGCGCCCGGGGCCGGCTCGGGGCGCCCGGCGGGGAGCAGCACCCAGCGAGGAGCGGCACCGAGCTGCCCGTGGAGCTGGGGAGGCCCCGGAGCGGAGGCTGCTGCGAGCAGAGCAGGGCCGGCCGCGCTGCTGCTGGTGAGTAGCCGCGGGGCTGCGCGGTGGCCGCGGGGCTGCGCGGTGGCCGCGCGGGGGACACCGGCCCCGCTGCCCCTCGCAGCCGCCTCCCGACGCTCCTGCGCGGGTTTAGCCGCTCTGTCCCTTGGGCTGCTGGAGCAGCAGGGAGCAGCTGGAGCTGCAGAGCAGCGAGAGGGGCTGGGGAGAGAGGGGAAGAGCGAAACTTGGGCAGGGCCCTGGCGGTAGCGCCCGCGGAGCGGCCGGGCGCGGAGCGGGCACCCAGACGCTTCCTTTTATAGCCCGGCTGGGCTGCGCTGCACAGGGTGCTGTGCCCCGGCTCCGCAGCCCCCGCGGCCGCTGCCGAGAGCCCTTTGCCCCGGGCCCCGCAGGCCGCCACGGGAGCTGGGCGGGCAGCTCGGGAGCTCCCTGGGCGGTGGATCCTGCGGCTCCTCCGCGCCCGGCTCCTCACAGCGTCGTCCAAGGGCAGCCGGGCCCTGGGCTGGCGCAGCCTCGTGGCTCACGGAGCCCCCTGCGCCGCCACGATCCCCTGCAGCCCCAACCGCCGGCCCCGGCTGCTCGGTGCCCCCCGGCACCTGCGGCTGCCGCATCCCCGGGTACCCCGGCACTGCCGGTGGATGCAGCCCGGCCCGGCTCGTCGCAGCCAGCGTCCCTCCCGCTCGGCCACTTCCCGCAGCCGCAGCAGGAACCTTGGCCCGACTGGGCCGGCTCTGCTCCAGCTGCTGCAGGTGCTGCAGCCTTCCCGGGATAGGGGTTCAGCCTGCGCTGGGCTTGCCCCATTCTGGGTGCCCTGGTGGCCACACGTTGCCCTGTGGCCAGGAGCCAGGTCCAGGAGAGGGAGAGTTAAGCTCTGGCCTCCCCAGACCTGCAATCCCGGGGGGATAAACGTCATCCGTGCCCCGCGGCTGGCCTGGCTCCGGGGTAGTGGCACTGCCATCGCTCTTGCCTTGCAGGCGGAGCTGGGGCTGCCCTGGGCAGGGCGCTGCAGGCAGGACACCACGGACGTCGCTGTCGGAGATGCTGCTCCTGCTGTTGGGGACAAGCGCTGCCTTCTCGTGCAGGCTCCAGGGAGGATGAGGACGGGGCAGCAACGGAGCTGAGATGCCACCAGGAGCCGCTGGCTTCACTGCAGCGTCTCTGTCCTCCCGAGGCCCCGGGGGCAGCGACAGAGGCTGTGGGGAGCTGTGCTCGGGCGGGAGACAGACGGTCCCGACGGCTCCAGCATCTCCCTCCCAACCCTACATACTTCTTCATATGCCCATATGGAGCCGACGGCGCTATGGAATGTTTAGAAGTATGTATTTTTGGGCTGGGACCCCTGCACCAGGACCCGTGCTGCCAGCGCCGGCACCTCCGGAGACACCGTGCGTCCCTGGGGCTGGTAAAAAGGAACCAGATCAACTTGCAACTGGATTTGGTCCCCTTCAACCAGCTGCAGCGGCGCGCGCCCCACGGCAGCCGCCTCGTCGCCGGGGGGAGTGGGGCAGGGGAGCGGGGCCGCGCGGCGCCGGGCGCTCGGCACCGGCTCTGTTTCCCTCGGCTGCTTGCAGGCCAGGGCTGCTCGTCTTTCCGAGCTCGGCTTTGCCGGTGCCAGAGTGTTTGGCAATGAGCGAGGAAGCATCACAGAGAATGGTTGAGGTTGGAAGGGACCTCTGGGGCTCATCCAGCCCTGCTCCAGCAGGGACACCCAGAGCACGGGGCACCCGGGCGCATCCCGGCGGGTTGGGAGCTCCCCGGAGCAGGAGCCTCCCTGGGCAGCCGGGGCCAGGGCACCCTCACACTGCACAAGTTCCTCCTCACACCTGTGCGCTCGTCCAGACCACACTCCCGGAGCTTTCCTGGGAGGATATGATGGGAGATGGTGTCGGAAGCCTTGCTGAAGTCAAGGTAGACAACATCCACGGCTCTCCTATCACCCATCCAGCCCGTCATCCCATCGTAGAAGGCTACCAGGTTGGTCAATCATGACTTCCCCTTGGTGAATCCATGCTGGCGACTCCTGGTTACCTCCTCCTCCTTCACATGCCTAGAGATAGATACCCTCTAGGATGAGCTGCTCCTCACCGGCCTGTCGTTTCCCAGCTGATCCCCTTGGCCCTTCCTGAAGGCTGCAGTGACCTTGGTTGTTGGTGTCCTCCAGTCCCCGGGCACCCGCCCTGCTCTCCAGGACTCTCTGCTCAGGGCGGAGCGGCAGAGTCAGCACTTGGCTGCGCTGACAGGACGGGCCCAGAGCCCTTAGCGCAGGAGGTGATGTCTCTGCCGGGAAACAAAACCACGAGCAGCAAGACGTGGTGCCCGGCAGCACACAGGCTGGAGCCAGGTCACCCACAGGGGCCCAGGGCACCGCGGGGAGCCCCAGGGCAGCAGGAGGGTGGGACTGGGGGTCTTGGTCGTAGAGGGGGTGTTGGGGCCGCCGGGGGCAGCACCGGCTGCTGCTGCTCCCTGCAGGGCATCAAATCCCTGCTGGGACCCCGTCCCCGCGTCCTCCCCATCCCCGATGGGCCCCCGGATCCCGCCGGGGTCCCCCTCAGTTCAGCTCCTCTAGCAGCACCAGTGTCCCGCAAGGGCATCCCTGCCTTCCTCCCCCATGCCGGAAGGGCGGCCCTGGGTGGCACCGGGAGCACCGGGATCACCCTGGGGCACTTCCTGCTCCAGCCTTCCCTGGGTGGCCAGAGCGCAAAGGCTGCACCGTGGCTGGTGGGGAGGAGGGCAGGGGCTGCGCCGCGGGCGCCGCGGGCAGCGGGTCCTGCTGATGCGGATCCCACCGTGTGGATCCCGTCGGTGCTGATGCCGCCACTGCTGGTCCCACAGGTGCTGATCCTGCCGGTATGGATCCCGCCGATACTGATTCCATGGATACTGATCCCACTGATGCCGATCCCGCCGATACCGATCCCACAGATGCTGGTCCTGCTGATGCTGATCCCACTGGTACCGATTCCACAGGTGCTGATTCCGCGGTGCCAATCCCGCCCCTGTGCTGCCGGCACACGGAAGCCAGCAGGACGGGCCGGGGGCGGCGGGTCCGGCCCACGCGGCTGCGTCGAGGGGTGCCCAGGGCAGCTGCCCCTTCCCCGGCTTTCCCCCATCTCCCAGCCTGTGCTGGGAGCTGCTGGGCAAGCCGCAGGGCGCAGGGCTCCGCCGCCACCTGAGGCTTCCTCCTTCCTCCCTCCCTCCCTTCCTCCTCCTCAGGGAGCGGCAGCATGCTCAAGTCCGCCGCCATCGGCGCTGCGATCGCAGCGGGTAAGGCGGGCGCCGGCCCTGCGGCAGAGCCCGGCGCCCACGGGCGGCCCCGGCGCCCACGGGCGGCTCCGGCGCCCCGCGCACTCACTCCACGCTCCCCGCTGCAGTGATCGCGCTTGCTGGCGCCCCGGCTGCCATCTGCGCCCTGGGCTTCACGAGCCAGGGCATCGCCGCCGGCTCCCTGGCCGCTAAGATGATGTCGGTGACCGCCGTGGCCAGCGGCGGCGGGGTGCCCGCGGGCAGCGTCGTGGCCCTGCTGCAGTCGGCGGGTGAGTGCGGCGGCGCCGCGGGGATGGCGGCTCGGGAAGCTGCTTCCTCGTAGAGCGGGCGGCCCCGCGTCCTCCCGCACACCCTGGGCTGCAGGACACGGAGGGACCCCGGGGACGCGGCCGCGCGGGGCTGCCCCACGGAGGGACCCCGGGGACGCGGCCGCGCGGGGCTGCCCCACGGAGGGACCCTGGGGACGCGGCCGCGCGGGGCTGCCCCACAGAGGGACCCCGGGGACGCGGCCGCGCGGGGCTGCCCCATGGAGGGACCCCGGGGACGCGGCCGCGCGGGGCTGCCCTGCTGCATGGTGCTGCTCTCTCCTTGCAGGCGCCGCAGGGCTCTCTCTGGCCTCCAAGGTTGGTCTGGGCTCGGCCGCCGCATCGCTGGGCGCCACCGTCGGTGCCGCCTTCTCCAAGAAGTAGTCGGGGTCGGCGGGGGTGCACCCAAAGGTGCCACGTTAGCGCTCGGCCCCGGCGACGCCGCTCGCTTCGCTTTGCTGCAAAGCTGCCAATAAAGAGAGCAAAACTCCTGGGTGCAGGTGGGTGTCTCTGTGCGGGCTGCACGCGCGGCTCCGCGAGGATACGGGGCCAGTGTCGGGAAGAAACTCCGCTTGCTGCTCTTTCCATAAAGGAAGACCTGCCCCCTACAGAAACTCTGCAGTTTCTCACTCTCCAGCTGGACAGTTTGCATGTCTGGATTTCACCTGAAATCCAACACTTTGAAACTATGTGTGTTGAAGACAGGCGGGTTAAGAAAGAAGCGTCTCAGCGGGAGGCATCATCTGCCACTTTCTCAGTCATGTTTGCTGCTTCTCTGACCCTTATGAGACTAAAACACGATTTTTTCTCTCTAAAAGAATATTTCAAGTGAGGTAGTGCATGGTGAGCGCGTGCTTCAGGTATTTTTATTACAAACAACTTCATCCAAGTGTTTCGACACTGCATGTATATAAATTAAATACTGTGAGATCTTGAAAGCCACGGTGAATTTGGGTAACTCCCTCCGGTGGCTACGACAGCCCAGGCAGAGCCAGGAGGGCGCCCAAAGCAGGAGGCAACTAAACCCACCCCTTCTGTTAAGTGGATCATCCAAGGAGGCTGCACCGAAGCCGCCCCTGGGTGCGACACCGACCCTGCTCAGGCCTGGCCTCCTCTGCACCGGCCCCTTTGCTCTCCTCTCCAGAGGGATCTTCATTTTGCAGGAAACAGCCCATCCGCCGTCCCCCTGCAAACCAGTGCGCCTGCTACTTAAATACTGTAATAATCTATAGGGCATAACGTAGTGTCTATGCAACGGGAAAACAGCCTCAACGAAAGTCCTGACGCCCCCGGGTGCCTGGGGAGTTTGTCGTCAGGGTACACGTTGTGGCCCAAGTGTCTTCCCCGGGAGTGCTGGGCCAGGACATGGACAAGGCGGGATCTTGGATCAGAAATGACAGACACAGATGGGCTCGGATCAGACAGAATTGGGGCAGGTTTACTTTTCACATAGTTTTTCTGTATTAAAAAATACATCAGTGAAATCTTTTACAGGCAGGGACAGGACTACCGAGTACACAACGTCAATAGACTACTTTCTGATTTTATTTTTGTTAAATTACTTTTGTTACTGCTAAAAAAATAATTAAAAAACAAAAACAAAACAAAAGAAACCCAAACAAACAAAAAAAAAAAAAGAAAAAAAAAAGAGGAAATATCATTCAAGGCTGTTGATTTTCATCTCCTGAAATTTTAGTGACAGGATCAAATATCAGACCCCTGTTACAGAAGCTGGATAAGTGACCAAAACTAGATAAAAGCCATACAGTTCTCTTCTTTAAAAATAGTCTGGGTTTCCAATGAATCTGTACCTTCTGGTCATCAGAAACACGTATCTATAGCTTGAGAAAACAGAGCTACAGACTGGATCTGATAATGTCCTGTCCTCTAAACACAACATGGGAGCTTTTCTCTTCTAAAAGACGCAGTAACAGCCAAGCCTTAAAAAAATCTCTCTCAATTTCCAACACTAGGACTAAATCTCTTTGGGTGGGGTGGGGAAAAAACACACATGGTAACTTCCTACCACAGGTCTTTGTCAGAAGTAATACTGCATCCTTTGTCCAACACTGCAGGTGTTGCAAAGGCGGGAAGAGAAAGAGTGTGGGCATCTTTCCCTTGAAATGACCAGGCCCTCCAGATTCGCCTTATAAAATAACCCAAAACACCCGAGGAGGGGAAAGAGGAGAACGGAAAGCTGCCTTTAGGGAGGAAAAAAAAACTTCTGCGCACCACAGTATTTGCTAGATTATATCAACAGACTGCAGAGCTACTGGGCTAGTTAAGGGCTCTTGTACATACCCCAGGACAGTGGCTCTCCTGTACATACCCCAGAACCGTTTGTCCCATAACGTGACCGCTCTGAAGCTCGACCTACGGCGCCTCCTCCACATCACAGATCAACCCGAGCTCGAGGTGGTATTTGCATGGACCGAGAGCTAGATTCTGGCATCGTGGGACTGCTCAACAGCAGCCAGGCTGTAGTCCGCTTTGCATTTGATCCCAATTTTTAAAAAAAGTTATAAAAGCGTGTGTGTGTGTGTGTGTGTGTGTATTTATAACGGAAGGTGTCTGTTTGTCTAAATATCACCGCTTTCTCTCCTGTCCTTGTGTAGAGCTCCAGGATCTCCACGTGTTCTTTGGCAGCAATGACTGCCAGACATCAGGCTGAGAAATCACGTGAGCCACAGTCTAGCTCTCCATGCTCATCACTATTAGGGTAGTTTTTATGCAATCGCTTTCCTTAAAAATATTTCACAATTTTTTTTTTTAAATCCCAAACAGATAAAGGATTTATGCACCACTCAAATAGGTTAGTTCATCTCGAGTTCGTTCAGAGGATTTATCGCTGCTGTAGGACGTTGTTTCTTGCAGCTTACATAGCTGGATTCCTTCCAATTCCAGTTTGTACATCCACTGCGATTCAAAAAATGCCTTTAGATGACATTATCGTGGCTTATTTGATACACATTTTCCAAAGGCTGGACGTATTCACAGTTTGATGCTTCCAATGTGTATTCAAAGGAAAATATCCCACTTCAGTTAGTCTGATAACTCAATATCAGAGTCCTCTGATTTGACTTTGGCAAGTTCTTCGTGTATCTCCCTCACCATAAGAATACGTGTTAACATGATGTCCAAGGTTCCTGGGTCTATTGGCAATGTGGAATACCACATGGGGCTGTTGGGTACGCAGGAGCGCTCAGGCTGAAGGTAAAACACATCACTTCTCTGCTTCACGCTTTCAGAACTGCCAGTGTAAAGAAAGGAAGACCACGTTATCAGAAGGCAGCACCAACAGTCACAGAGACAACATAGGTTAAGGAGTGACAGCTAAGAACATGGAAATTGCACTGTGAGGAGATCACTGCAATTAATTATTAGAAACTTGCTTCCTCCTCTTCAATTTAGTGAACAATTATTGTTCTCTAGATCACGCAGCATCAGCTCCTTCTAATACGAAGGAAATTAGAGTGTCCTCTTCACAGAGATGTTTTGTCAATGGTAGTGCTATCCAGTTGATGGTAGAAGTGTCTTGACATAAGGATGATGCATATGAATTTAATCTCCGAATAAAAGTTCTTTCTAATATTCCAGAACAAACATTACTTATCTGCTGAGCCGAGCAGCATTGCTGGGGAAGGAAATCCTATCAGTAGGGCTCTATTCTCAGCAAGGTACTAGAAAATGGAGAAAGGAGCCCATAGTAGAGGCACAGAACATGTGGGTGGGATCCCTGCTTCCAGAGGCCTGAGGAATGGCTGCTGGTTACCCATTTTCAAACTCTTCTATCTTTGGAAAATGCTGGGAAAAAACTGCACCTCTTTTCCTCAAAAAATATTTTACCCTTTCGGACAGTTCTTGTCCACGTAAGGATTGAAAATCAGTTTCTGTCACTTACCATTTCGACAAGTAAAACTCATAAAGTCGGACTGGACATCGCAGGGGATTTTCTGTATTTTCAGACATTTCCACTGCTGTTGCCATCTCCTCATCTTCACCACGTTTCCTTTTCCCTATGGATAATTTATCTGGATACAGGAAAAGGACATCACATGCATTCAGCAAGAACAGCACCTTCAAGAATCAACACTGCGCTTAGCATCCATCCGATGGGACTTGGCATCACAAAGAAATGAGACTCTATCTGACATTATAAATCTGTCATTCAAATGTCACACGCAGATCAACTGGTCTGGGGTAGTCAGCCTGCTGGGTGAGCAAAATATCAGATATGCTGCAGTGCGCCCATAGCAAGAGACATGAGCAGGGCAGAGCTCCCACCCTTCCTCCAGTGATGCCACTGGTACCACTGGGGGACAATTTTCCTCAATCCCAAAGCTTTTAAAAATGAGTAGTTTAAGATTTTAAATTTAATTTAAGAATCCTGCCCCTCATTTCAAATTTGATGAGATGGAGAGCATGTGCCCTCAGTCAATATTCGCATGTTCTCAGTCTCATCAAGGACTTTATTTTATGAGGGAAAAGTAGAAGTTTTACTTAGAGAAAACTATCAAGAGCTAGTACCTAACATAAGACTATGGAGGATATACGTATCTATTCTTTTTTTCTTCAATTTTAAAATAAGGAGCAGACAATATAAATAGGATTCCAGAAAAACAGAATCAGAAAGCAGGCATTTACCTGATTCTACCTCTTGTTTTTGAAAGTGTGGGAAAAAACGTAAATATGTCATCTTAGTATTATACTTCAGAGTCCGGGTGCGTCTCATGACATGGGCAAAGGATAATTTCAGGTGCTCACTGACATTCTTTAGTTGGAAGTATTTGGTGTTGAAGAATAGCAGTGTGTTCAGTAAGACTATAGGAGAATATGCACCCAGCTGTTTACATTCCCACAAGTGTTCCTCTTCAATCCTTGAGAACATGTAACCTGAAAACAATGGGCAAAAAAAAAAAAAGGAAAGGGTTATTTATGCTGTTTTAGGGCTGTTCCTCAGATTTGATTATAAGTGAATCCAGGCAGTCTAGTGGATTTTAAGAACTTTCCCAAAGTAACAGAAGGAAGTGTCACAGACATACAGGGTAGGAGGATAGGAACAGAAAATATTAGGAAGGAAGGATCTCAGAGACTCATGTACATTCTGTTTTACCAAACCTTGTATATGAATGAACTGCACATCAGATTAAATTCACACCTATAATAAGCAATTGTGATTCCAGTAGCGTCAGGAAGACTGCATGCATGAGCGTGAAAGGAAGCATGGAAAACCAAGCTGTGAAACAGCTTGAAGAATGAAGAGAAGGATGTAAAGGAAGACTGCAGATACTAGCACAATCTCCCTGAGTTTTAATTTCACTGAATTAAAGGACAGTCAGCCAGCTGAAAAAAAAAAAAAGAAAAAAAAAAGTAATGTTCCATTCCCTAAGAATTAAGAGCTTAAATGGTAAAAATGGTAACACCTTTAACATTGTTGTTATGCTAAGCCAGCTAGGAAAGGAGATATGGAGGCTTGTAAAATACTTGTTGAGAAAACTATATGCAATCAATCTACCAGTAACTGGGCTATTTCTTTATTAAAACAAAATTAAATTTAAAATGAAAAGTCAGTTGTAGATACAGGTATGGAGTTTCCACTGTCATTCAAGGTTCCCTGATACTACACTGTGGTCCTATGATTTATCAGAAAAAATATTTCCATTATCTATAGGGAAATATTAATGTAATTGTACATAGTATTTGCAGTAACCTGCATACAGTTTTGGCTACCTAATTTCAAAAAAATGACTAGCTAAAGATTAAGGGGAGAAAAGAATCAGCATTCGACTACAGGAATGGGAGGCCTTTCTTTCAAAGAAGTTGAGAGATTAACTGGAGATAAAGATATATTTAAGTGCAATCTGTGACCAAAAGAGGGGGAGAGACATAAAATCCACAGTTCTGGTCTACCACAAACATGGTGGGGAGGAGGAAACTAATGTGAATGTCTCAGATCATATTCATCTTCATGGCAATGAGAAAGTAATAATTTATAATAATGACTTTGTCATGCAGCTACACAAAATAAAAGTATTGTCCTACCATTTGGAAGAATTGTAGGTTCCCAGATTTTCAAGAGTTTTGTAAGCTCAATCATAAACCTGGAATAGGGCTCGGTAAAAATGTTATCTATTCTACCATTCTCAAACAGGTACTACAAGAGAAAAAAAAAGGAAGACATACAATTTATGATTACTTAACATTGCAGAAAAGATATAGGACATCAGATTCTTTTTCTTTCTTATGTCCAAGTGTTTTTTATGGCCCAAAACATATTTTTGAATTCTTCAGTAAGATAGCTAATTAGATTTTCTGCAGGGACTGGGTGTTTTGTAGGGTTACAAAAAAAGCTTAACTTAAAGCACCAATGAAAAATTCCCTTAAATTCTGGTCAAGGAGCCATTAATATTTTCATTTTTTCTTTCTTTCTTTCTTTTTTTTTTTTTTTCCTACAGATGAGAAAACATGCAGGTCAAAAGTGAAATACAAAAAAATGTGGAAACTCCTAGATCTTATCAATGGTGATCTGATTAACTCTGCATTTTTTTTCAAACACAGACAAGAAATGGCAGGTTCTGCTTCAAAAAGTAGATCTTTACTCCTTATCACCCAATGATTATTCAAGGCAGTGAATGAAAAAATATTTCTACAAAAAGCCTTTTATTCTAGGTTTGTGCTACAACTGTTAAAATATGCAGTGCCTAAGCAGGTAGCAAGGACTGGTTACATGACTGCTAATATTCATTAATTACAATTCTATTATTCCCCCTACATATACCTTTAAGTTTTGCCAACACAAAGTATCTGTTCAAGCACTGAAGGAGCATTATCTTTCCCGTGTAATCTCTTCCATGTAACTTGCATATTAGAAAAGCATTGTGCAACTATTTAGATCTGAAACATTCCAACACAAAGCAAGTGTTACTGGGGATCCACAAGTTTGTATCTAGCTTTCCTCTATATGGCAAGGATAAAAAAGGTATCAAAAATGAAAGATTTGTGTCTAGATAGAAACACATATCCCTCCATACCACACTCCTCCTAACTACAGGAAAGGTCTGCGTACTTGGATTACAAAAAGGTCCAGACAAATTAGCAAAGTACATGAGTAAAATAGACTAAGCAGCAGAAATAAAGAAAAATTCTTGCCTTCTCTGCAAATACTGTGCAGCTGCGTGATGTTATGGATACTGCACAAAAAGCCAGTCTAATTTTTTGGTGTCTTCACAGCAATACCCTAACTCAATGAGTTACCTGCTGAATTCCAAGGCACAAGTATAAGATGCTGTCAGGATCATATTTTTCTCCATTTGGTCTCCGCACCTCTTGAATAAACTGGCACAAGCCAAAACTCAGCTCAGCAAAAGTGCATGAGAGAACGTCCTCCTTGAGTTTCACAGGACGAACTGTGGTGAAGAAAATGAGAAAAAAAACCCTTAATTCAAGGAACTAAATCTTCACATATTGCTTATAATTTCACGCAGGTAGAACTTCTAAAACATCTCAACCTGTGAGCAACTTCCTATCTGTAAGTTAACAACTTAATAAATAGTTGGCCAATAAAAACAAATCATCAGCATGTGTAACAAGTACAAATGCTGTAGCAAAAATACGTATTTCAAGCTAGGATAAATGGGGCTCAGTGACCCCAAAGCTGTGGCATGGCTATGGTTACATACACTTGAGGCTGGTAGCGTAGGTTTACTGCATCAGCTTCACCTCTACAGCTGGACCAGGGGAATCTTAACTGAAAGACCTTGAGTATTTCCTCGTAGCTTTGGACATGAGTGCAGTATATTTGACTCCTTAAAGGGAGAAGGAATTAAGTGTTTCAAGGGCTCTGGGATTCAAAAGCAGGGAGCAGAGCAAAGAGAGGATCAATCCATCTGAGAATCTCCAATGAAACTACAAGCCTTGGCTGCTCTACACCACAGAAAGTGACCGACTGTTTGGGACTAAGGAGGGAACCTTTCTGGGGTTTTGCATATAGTTCCCTGGAACTGGCTGTAAGCATTCTTTTTTTCTTAGCCACAAGAAGAAAAGACAATAACTCATGTGATTACTCTTCTTCTGGGAAACAAAAAGCAGCTATTCTCATGAAATGACAACAAAAATTCCAAATGAGGGAGGAAAAAGCAGACCTCTCTCTAACCAGACTTTTCCCCTTTGAGATCTCTGTTATATTCTCTGTATATTGAGTATCTTGAGATTAATATTGAGTATATTGAGATCAATATACTCTATTATATTGAGATCTCTGTTAAGCCCCATCCCACCGTGTTCTTTACATTGTAGTACTATCTAACATGAGTTGCTCCCTTCCCCATCATCCCAACAAAGCTCAGTTACATTCCTGATTTAAACTCTCTGCTGGACTCCAAAAATTTGTCCATAAAACTCTCATTGCAAGCATGTAAGATGGACTTGAGATCACAGAAAAGGAGAGTTAGACATTGCCAAATCCCAGGATTGGATAAGGAATAATCCTAACACCTACCTGAGTAACATATCCACACCAAGTGCTCCTCAATTAAATATTGTCTTTTCCACTGAAATACAGACAAGTTTACCTGAAAACTTTAGGTCCCCTTGGTCCTCCTGTGCGTTTTTCCATTGGACCCAATTCTTCCAGGCATTTACCCCATACATGTACTTTAGGGTCATCCCAGAAACAGAGCACCCTGGATAGGATCCCTGCATGAGATTTCGGGGCTCTACAGGAACCACAGACTTCTTCCGTCCCTACAGGAAAATGCACAAACCAAGAAAGTTTACATTTAATAAAGTCTTATCTATGGAAATTTAATGTGATCTTGGATAATAAGACCAGTATACTGAGATCATAACAAAAGCCTATCTCATGACAGAAGCTGAATGAATATGTATGTTTCTTATGAATATACTCAATAATTAACCATGCTTTGTGGGAAAGGTACAATAATAATAGTAACAGTAATTCTCCTCATGATAAATGCACACAGAAATATATTTCTTTCTGTCTAAATCACAAGCAAATTCTTCTGTCCTGAAGACTACTACACTTTTAAAAAATACATCTATTTTGGAGCTTTTAAAATGATACATATTATTTAAATACTCTGTACTAAAAAGAATACTTATTCTATCTAGTTGCAGAGTGGAGGGAAGACAATTTTACGCAACAGCAGAACAGAAAAAAAGAATATATACCACAGTTAAATTAAGTTCTTCACCCTGAAGCAAGAGAATAAGCATGCACGTAGGTTTCTCACATTTAACGCAGTAATATTATGTTCCAAAAATACTTTCTTACCCGTCTTTTCGGCTGTGGGAAGCCATCTCTATGTCTCCGTCTTGTTCGTGAGCGTGAATGCAGACCCGGTCCTTTACTGAGAGGGTCAAATGAGTCTAAAGTCAAATTAACACCATTAAGAGTTTATATGATTTAACCTGCCCAAGTAGAAGTGTCACTTAGATACTACTGAATATCTTGAAGTTGACAATCACATCCGTATATTCAAATAATGCTTTACCTTTAGATAATTAGGCAATAAATTTACTTTCTGTATAAAAATGAAAATTCTCAGAAGAGATAAAAAGCACTCCCAAACAGTTGATGAATTTATTCAGGCAAATGCATTCTTTTGCACAACTGAAATTAATTGTACTTAGGGACACAGAAGTTATAAATGCAAAGGAGTCAAGCAAGATTGCTACCCCTGTCAGTGGTTCTGTAGATTGCTGTCTTTAAAGAGACCAATTCTACTCTAAAAATAGTCATTTTTAGTAAAACTGATGTATTATTGCAACTTTAAATACCTGGTTGTACAAAATGAAAACACATCCCCTTTATGAGCAGATTGCTGGTACAATATTTACTCAGAAAATTGTGCATAATTTTATGCAAGAATACATTTTTCTTCACATTATACAGACCTGATGGAAAATCTGCCTCCAGGTCCTGTTCTATGTCCCCTTTGGGGAACTGCTTCAGTTCTGGATCTGGATCTGGTATGGTATTTGATCGTAAGGCATAGTGATTTAACTCATCCTCCCAGCTGTGTGGAGTGGACACTGCTTCTGATTCTAGATCTCCACTGTAAGTGCTACCTTGGTCTGTAATGAGAACGATTAAATACATGACGTGCTGGAGGTAGGAACAGGAGTTTCAAAGGATTAAAGCCTTTTTGGAAAAAAAAAAAAATCCAACTGACCTTTCTCGAATATCTTGGGATCCAAGAAGAGCTCATGTTCAGATGTTTGAGATCCTTAAGAAAAAGAAGGAAATCTTTTATCTACAAATGATTCACAGCTTACACAACTGACACAAAAAAAAAAAAAAAAAAAGAACACCAAAATACTACCAACAGGTAATGCATCTTCTCTACCACTAGAGTACTACCAAAAGGTTTCTACCCTTTGTGATGCTGGCATGGGAATAACAGAAATGCAGAACTAATTCATGTTTGATTTGGAAATAACATTGAAAATAAACATTAGTAGAACAACAGGACTATTTAATATGGCAAGCTTACTTAGGAACCCGCCAATCATGCCCAACAAATATTTCTCTAGCTATTTTCTCTGAAGGAAGAATCTCTATCTCACTTAATTCATTTTTATTTTTAAAAAAAGATCCCATACCGCCATGAGAGTGTGTTTTTTCTTTCTCCTCATCTTCTGCAATCATTTCTGCCATCTGAAGGAGATCAGCTTCAAATGGATTTGTGGGAATCTTTTCCTTGATATCCTGAATAGTTTCGATGATCTTATCAGCATTATCCAGGGTAGTTGGGAAAAGCATGGGAACTGGTACCTAGAAACATGTGGAAAATATTATAACTTGTTTGTGGGAGAAGGGGAACAGCAAATACAGAAGGGAGATTCCTCTCCCTTAATCTTATATAGAGTTTGAGATTACCCAAAATTTTAAAATAACTTCAGACTGGACAACTTGCTTCATACCTGCAGTGACTCTATAAGGTTTTGTGTGTGTGATGAGGATTAATTAAGTACAATGTGGATAAGGAAAGAAATAATATCAACTCTAAATACCACCTGAATCTAAGCTGGCCTAAAAACAAAGCTCAATGAACAAATGCCTTGTTCAAAACTGAGACCATACACCACCTTTTCAGTGAAATGAAGGATAACTTACGGGTACTGGCATTCCAAGTGGAACTGGTGTATACTGTGTATAGAGGTGAAGAGGTACTGGCACGAACACTGGCACAGGAACAGGTACCACAATGATCTGAGGTTGAACTTCTTTTTCTTCTTCTGTTATATTAAAAAGAAAACAAAAATGGTGTAGCTCCTCAAAAGAGCACACAGCCACTCTGCACACCAGTTAAGGTTTAAAAGTATGTTAAGAAAAATAATTATCTGTTACATAAACCATGCATTATTCTCTCATCTGCAATAAGAACCTTTATAAAAATGAGTCAGAGATTAGATACGCACCCGTCTGGCATTCTTTGTTTTGTGTATGAGGTTTGCACGAGGTGGCCTTAGTCTGTGTGATTGGCTTGCACAATAGTGCCTTGTTTTTTAAAAGTCTGGGTGGTTGTGATGGTGGTAGCTTCAGGGCATCTGTCTGAGTGCTCGCCTGTTTTAAAAAATATAAATGAGGGCAGAATCAGTGTTGGTTGTAGTAGAATATTATAAGGAATAATATTTGTTCTCTGCTAGGGGAGTTTGCAGGATTTAAAGCAGTATTACAGTCTTCGCTAATAAAAACAATCATTTAAAAATCCAGAGAAACAGCTTATTAATGCACTTGGTGCTTTCTGGTCTTTATAAAAATTTATTTTAATCAAACAATGGGCTTTTTTTTTTTCTTATTAGGAGTGTAAAGCCATCTCAAGTGCTGCAATTTGACAGTCTTTATCTAAAACATCAAATCAATCTGTCAATGGATACAAAAACACCTTTATACCATACAAGTTGTATCCATTTTTAAAAAATGCATCTGCAACCTGGATGAATGTTAAATCCCAACCACCAGAAGGAAAAGTAGTTACAAAGTAACTGTGCTATATTCTTGGATAGTTTACTTATTATTGATACAATTTGGGCAAAAGGGATAAAAAGACTCTCTTGTAAAACTTACATCTCCTATTATTTTTGCTGTCACAGTAGGGACTGCACCTGAGAAGAGAAACAATACAAAGTAGTTTGTGATCTTGTCATGAAAACTCATCATTTGCCTAGATCAAGAAAAAGAATTCCCATTAAACTTCAGTCTCCGCTGCGTGTTAATAAATGTAAATAATTATTTTTACGTTTGTAAAAGAAGGAAAAAACAGCAATGATCTGCACTGACACGAACGGTAATGACAAACTGGTTGTTGTCCTCAGTGGACAAGATCTATGAACAAACATTAATATCCCGAAATAGAATTTTAAAAATACAGAAGTCACGTCCTACCCTGTAAAACATTGTTGGAGTTCACTGTAGGCTGGGCAGCAGGCGTGCTTGCGAGGGACACCACATTTGCTATGACAGGAGTTGAATCTTTTCTCAAAGAAGGAGGGCCCGATGAGGAAGATGGTGCCATTGAAAGGTTTGCTGGAGAGAACAAACAGAAGAAAGCTAGAATGAGTAATAAGATAATTTTTATATACCTATATATGCATGTATACAAAATAGCTACAACTCCCACCCTCCAGACATCTCCAAATGAAAAAGTCTGCCTTATGTGAGGGAGATGTGGGTATCAAGCTGCAGATTTCCAGTTTAAATAGAAGTTGGTTCCATAAGCAAGTTTAAGCTGTTTTCCGGTCACTGAAATATTTCAGAAGTTCATCACAGTATGAAATGAGCTTTTTCTAGGTAGTATTATATATATTACAGGAGTACTTGGGAAACAACAAAAGACTGTGCTCATTATTGTGCATGTACAGCATGGGAGACAGTGAAGGTCCTGCCAAGCTTAGACCTTCTACATAATCATATATTCTTTCTACCCAAAAGCACCGTAATTACCACATTTCATCAAAAAACCCCTGTTCTGAGGCATTCCGTTACTCTGGCAGCCCAGTTTTTCAAAGGTGTTACACACTTGCCTCAGCGGAAGTTGCTGGCACACTTTTGAAGAAGCAGGCCCATCATACATACTGTTATCCTTACTAACAGTCAAATGTACTGACAAGACCAGGAATGCCATATGGTATAGTAATGGCCTGAAAGCATAAAGTTATTTATGCTTTAGTGTTATTACTCTCAATTATTATAAAGTTATTATAAAGTTACTACTAGCCTTGAGTGATATTAATCAGGGAAAACATTTCCCACCAGTGTAAGCAGGAGATATGTACAAAATTCAAGAGTAGTATATGGCCTGGTGCACACTATGACCTTTCAGTTAATATTCTTTATTGCTCATTGGGTGCCTTACAGTTGCAGTCACCATCAATCAGTAGGAGAACCTGCTCCTCCTTAGGACCGGTGCTATTTCTTCCCTTTGTTTCACTCCTCCTTCCTGACTTTGTGGGCTTTTCCTCCTTTCTTCCCTTTGCATTTTATTCCCTACAGAAACTCACAGTTCCTATTCCTGTGGGCTTCATTCCCACCCTCCTTCCCATTCCATCTGCTAAAATAACCACCAATGAAATGGCTACAGCATATATTAATCTTAGCATTAACACTTAAAGATTGTATAACGATCCATTCTATCAAGCACACCAAAAGCAATACTATTCACATCCTGTTTTACCTGTATTGTTTTGGGGTGGACAGTCAGAAACGCTTTGCTGATTACAGAACATCAGAATACAAAGCAGATTGCAAAAATGCTTGATCTCCCCTTGCCATTTCATGGACTCACTGAGTTTACCTTGTCTCTTACAACCATCACACTTTGCCATCTAGAAAAAAAGTGGGGGAGAAATTAAACACACATATGAACAACAAGCAGAGTATCACAAAGCAGTAGAACATTTGGTGTCTGTATTCCAACAACAACGTTACAATTTCTCTATATTGAAAAGGGATACTCAAAATTTAAGAGGAACTTACTCATCTACCACACACATGCAATATCTTCTTCGGATATAAGTGCCAACTACAAGCAGTTCACACAGTTCCTCAATTTCAAAGCATCTTTTGCTAGGATGCTTATATTCCACAGAATATTATGGAAGAATATTTCTTACCTGGTAAAACAAAACTGTAAATTTAGACATGCAATCCTCTGAGCAGAATTCCTCCATCTTTCCCCCAAAGTGATTCTGGACCAGTTTGGGAGAAGCCTGTAAACAGTAACTGCACATTTTACAGTGGTTCCCCCAACGTTTAGCCAAGTCATGTTTATAAAGCAGTTTACAACCTGAAAGAAGAAAAAAGAGCAATGTATCAAAAACATGCTTCAGTATCAAAACTATGCATGTTTGTTTGGCACTTGTAATTCTTGTATTTAGTCACGTCTGTAATAATTTATTGAAATGTAACATTAAAATACAAAGTTCTAGGTAAACACTGTGTTTCTTTTATTGTCACCTAAAAGTTTAAGGTCAAGCACCTCTGCCTTAATTTATCTGTCATATAGCTTTGCCCTTTCTTACCTTCACTACAGAATGCCCTATCTATGCCGGAGAATCGCACTGTCTCCTTGATAATTTTCTCAATTTTGCAGTATTCACACATTGCCATTACGCTGCTTCTCTTCTTGTATTCATCACAGCAGGTCTTCCCACAAAACTGAAACATTTTACCCTGTAACATATCAAGAACATTTCAGTTGAGCCAAATCTTGTTTTCGCCTCCTAGATGTGAACACTTAAATAGTTCATAGAAACTCAAGGGCATATTTATGCCGTTAGAATTCACTAGCAGACAACACTAGGAAGTAAGTTTTATTACAAGAGCAGAGCAATTTTCTGCAGAAAGCCTTCAACAACATGTTTTGTTCTGGAATTCAAAGGATCATCTCCAGAAGCAAGAACGAGGATCAAATTCACTGCATGCAATATAGTTAAAATTTCTTGGATTTCTGAGTGAGAAAAACTTGCCCTAATTTTTATTACCTTGTAGTCAAGCAGTTCTGGTTTGGTTGCAAACAATCTGTTACAGTGCTGACACCTGAGTTTTACAACAGTGCGGGCAAAGGTGACTTGCTGGGACTGGGCAGCCAGCCTCTGTAGACCAGCTGCAGCTGAACTGCTCATGGAGCTGGGGGACACAGTCGAGGTAGTGCCACCGGCCGATACCGTTGCCCCCGAGGGAATGCTTACAATGACTTGACCTTGCGACAGGGGCACCACAGAGGAGTTCACTCCTGCAGGCTTGTTGAACAAATTCTGCAGGAAAGCAAATTCCGGAAGAGACTTTATTTCATAATCTTATGCATTACCTATTACATATTATATGTTCTGTAATATTTAGTATTACTGAAATCATAGATGCTGTACCTGAAAAGCTACTACACAACTGTAGCTGCAAAAATTACGTATGCTGCCATCTGACATAGCCAAGTGATACTGAGGGATTGAGGAATTTTTACAGCTGTTGCACTGAACTTGAACACCTGAGAGGGAAACAGAAGAAAACAATGTGATTTATCCCAAACAAGCAGCATTGCAGAGAATTTGCACTCTGCATACAATTATGTGCAAGATTTTGAATGACAAAGCAAGATACAGACACAACTTGTGTGGACAATCAATGTATTAATATACAATATCCAATGTATTAATATATAAATACTGGAAATTTATATATGCCTGTGAATCCACAAAAAATACAAAGTGAAAAGGGGGGAAAAAAAGCCTTATTTAAAAGCTGAAATGTCTGCATTGTCACAGTGAAGTTAATCTACAATAGAAAGCCCCTATGTTCTCATGCCAGTGCCATCGTTTTAAAAGGAGAAATGTCACTTTCCACATTCCCCAAATCTCTCTTTGCTTTCAAGATAAATTAAGCTTGGATATAAAATACATGACATTTTGCTTCTAAAGAAATAAAAGAATCATGTTACCTGCAGAGGCAACCATTTTAACTCTATATGCTGACAAGCAGTTAACAGAGCAAAACAGTTCAGTTTTTCCCAAGTTATTTGTGCTCTCGATCATCTCAGCTGAAGATCTCAAAGATTTACACAGTGCACAAGGTGTAATTTTAGCTGACTTCTGTGGAAAAAGTTAGAGGTCATTCATCTGAAACACAGTATTTTTTATTAACCTGGAAATTAGTCACTAACACATAAAATGTGCATAAAATGACAGTGTACTTGAAACAGGATTTACGTTACAGCTGTATTATTTATAATGCAAATGTTTTTCAATCCATCTCCCAGGAACTCTTTTTTTTCTTTTTAAAGAGATTCACAGAAATAAGTCTATTTTTTGATAGCCTTACTATATATGGGTGTTTACATGATCACTGAAATGTTTTTACTTTTGGAAAATAGTTTGAGAGGTACTGTACCTGATCATTTTACTATCATTTTATTACTGTGCCTTTAAAAAAATAAATGTTTTCACAGAAGAACAAAATAGAATATAAATTTCTAAATATTTAAAGAATCATTAAAAATCTGGAAATAATCATAATACAACTGTCAGAATGCTCCCTCCAGTATAGGAAAACAAAGCAATAAGTTAGGTCAAAAATTAAGGAGCAAATAGGAAAAGGAACAAGCTAGTAACTAAAGTTATCAACTAATATTTTAGCATCTATTTCTTAAAATACTCAAAATTCAAGGACATACTTTTAGTATTTGAAGTGTCAAAATATACCTGCTTGTATGCTGTAACACACGTTGAACTGCAGAACTTCTTTGACTGTCCCTCTATTTGAAGCATGTGACACTGGCCGGATCCACTGTAACAGTAGCCCCCACAGTTCTCACAGCAGTTCATGGTCAAATTATTAGCTGAGCGGAACTTGGAGAAGCAGGCATCACTGCAGAGCTTGTGGACAACATTCTGGTAATTCACTTCATGTCTAATCTAAATAATGCAAAGACATATAATAAGAATAGAAAGAGTATAGAATAGTTGATCTGTAGGATATCAAGTTGTTCTGATCTGAAAGAAAATCAGAGGAAAAAGGAATTTGCACTTACCACTGCATTTTTCTGGCACATGCTGCACTTGGTTGAAATGCTGTTAGTGTGAATAGTAACCACAGGCTTCCTCTTCAGTTCGTATGTGGAAAGACAGGACTGGCTGCAGAAATCTTTACTGGAATTTGTACTGTCAAACTGGGCAGTGATTACATCCTTTGGATTTAGAATGTCTCTATGGAGGGAAAAAATATACAAAAACAAATAAAGAGGTGAAGAATAATGTTTTCATGCCAAGCTGCTCTCCTTTCTTTTGTTGCAGACCAAACACTCTCTTTCTAGAAGGGGCTGAATTAATTTTTTTTGATGATGATGATCAAAGTACTCAAGTTCTTTTTTAACTTTTCCTGCCAGGCAGATCTATGTGTATGCAAAATCCAATTCACGAAACAGTACTCAAAGTATTATTTGACCAACAAATAACAGTATAAGCCAGAACGCTTTGCAGGGAAGCTCAACAAAAGAAGCAGGCATTAGAAAAACAGCATGTTGTATAAGAAAATAATTGAAACTTTTTGTTTTTTTCTTGAATATCAATTATTGCTAGAGCAAGTTAAAGTAGTGTCCTACTTTGAGCAGCTTGAGCAGGTTTTCTTGGTAGAAGCTGGTGGGCGAGAAGCTGGAACAGTGTATCCAGTGAGGCACAGTGTGGAGCAGAAGAGCTGAGTAGAGCCTTTCCTCTGGTATGCAGTTTGCCCCTTCTGGAGGATTTTTTTACAGCCAGAACAGGAAACCCGAACAGCTGTGGTTGGAACTGAAGGAAGCATTTTACTCATGCCAGAGGATGCCGCAGCAGGCTGGAAACCTGACGACAACTGTGGAGCTAAAAAAAAAATAACAAGAGAAAACACTGAGTAACTGTTATATATATATTGCAGATCATTCACTGTTGTGCAGGGGGCAAGCACAAGCCTATGACTTGCTTTAGACTGTCGGGATCTAAGGGAGCATTAAAAAGCGAAAGAAATCTCTACAAATACATGTCCTGCACTGGCTTTCTGCAGAAAAGATGGCATCAACTACTGCTGAAATTACTACTGTGCTTTCAACACCCCTTTCAAAATCAATTCTCCTTTGCTTCAAAAAGGTAAGTATTTTACAATTGTTGAATTTCATTGTCTCTAAACCAAACTAGTTCTTTTCTTCTACTGGGCTTACACATAACAAATGAAACGTAGACTCCTCTGCAAGACCATTTGCAAAAGTGATATTTTATAGATTTAAATAAAGTTAGTCTTGCCTATTCCTTACCAAGAGGACTGCCACTGACTGAAAATACAGCACTGATTTTCAGCTCCCCTTCCTGAGTTTTTGGCTGTTGGCCGTACTCCTAAAACAAAGGGAAAGGAAAAGGAGAACAAATACATACATGTAATAACAGGTTACACGATTTCCATTCTTTCATAATGCTGTACTGAATATAAGGTCCAGGAAAGTAAGAATGAATCTTCTAAGTCTTTTCCACAGACCAGGCTTACAGACGTTGCTGTGCTGTGGTAGCACACACAACCTGCTCCGAAGTTTGCAGCATACAACCGAGACCGACACGTGGAAAAGCACCGGCACGATGCATTCCCCTTTCCAGCTGCACTCCATACTCTTTTGAATTTGGTGTAGGCAAAACTTTAAATATCCCTGCTTTCTATTTGCAAGGAACCTTCCATTCAGAAGTGCTTTACTATTTGCAGTCTTTATCCTTACTCGATGAAAAAAAAGTTTTATTTTCAAATTTATGGACAATAACAACAAGATAGAGCCTATGACCTAGACCATCAGAAGTACTCCGTACTTCATTATCTTAAGTACCTTGGAGGAGCCTAAGGTGAAACTTCATGGCAGGCTGAGAAGTTATAAAATGAAATATCCACGGTTCTGCCCCAAGACCTGTTCTGGGCCTCGACGCCGAACTGGTTGACGGAGCTGAGCCAGCCAAAATGTCACTGGTTTTATTGCAGTCTGTTTGTTTGTTTGCTTGGCCAGCTTAGTTCCCTGAGCCAGCTGTACGAGGCTGGCGTGGCTACAAGCAGACTCTAACAGTCCTCGCTTAGACTGGCCTCAGCAAGAGGGTTTGAAAAGCCCTGCATTTACTACAGAATAAGGAAATCTCTACAGACAGTCTCTTGTGGAAGAGCTGACATACTATAAATCACTAGCTTGCTCACAGCAGCTATTCATACTTCGACACCGGGCTTCCTGCTGGTGTTTTCTCCAGAAATCTAAACCATAAAGTAGCTTCTAACAGTCCATATTCACATCTTAATAGGTCAAAACCAATAATCTCTTGGAACTACAGAGTTGGTAAGACTTAACCTACTTACAGCTATTTGAGAAAAGGAAGGGTATGGTGTCATACTATGACTGCAGTAAATGAACAGCTGCTGTGACTGCAAGGTAAGTCAATTCAGCATTCCCAGGCAAAAATAATTTCTTGCTTTTCAGTGGCAGTGAACGCTCCCTTAGCTTAAGCCATCTCTTAAAATACACCCTCACCTCCACATAATATCTGCTAAAATTTAACATTTGGTTACTCATTTGGGAAAATTACAAGTTTCTGTACTAAGACAACCAAATTATTTCTCGAGAGGTTTCCCAGAAGAACAGTCAATGGTACTTGTTAACCAAGTAAACTATCAGATTGAAGCATTCAAATCTCTAGTAAAACACAGTTTTAAGCTGTGCGTGGGCATGTCATGATACTGGGGTTTAAAGCACTGTGTTTTTTTAGTATTACAACTTAAACACCATATCCTAGTCAATACCAGGAATAGAAATAGAACCAAATAATCCTGACTTCAACCACGAGTCGCCAGGCAGAGTTTCACATCTGTGAAAAAGCTGGAAGTGCTGGAAGCGAAGAAGCTCCAGCTCCAACTACAGGTCATAGCAAGGAATGCATGAAAACAAAACAAAACACTAATTCTGATTTAAAGCAAAACAAAAATGAAACCTCCTCAGTTCTCATATTTTTCTAGTATAAAGGAGAGGTGATAATTACAGGATTTTACTCAAAGGAATTAGTATTTTGAACAATAAGGCATTTGATTTAAACTCCCCAGATCTTCACTTTTACTCATTAACATGATCTTTGACAGTCACAGACATACTGCATTGCATTCCACACAAATCCAAATACCAGATGCCATCTTGGAGGGCAAAAGAATAGATAGGTTTAACTCACCTATATACAATTTGACATTATATATATTTTAGGAAAAATTAAAACAACCTCGTGACACTGAAGGGCAGTGAAATCTGAATGGTTTGAACACGCAGTTGGTAGTGGGAGAAGACTGGCCCCAAAAGAGAAAATAATACCAAAGTACACAGAATGGTACTACAAAAACTAATGCCTGAATGAGAACTTCAAAGCTTAAGTGTCAAGGCAAGTGGGATCACACAACTCTGCTTTTAATTGAGTAGGAAGACACTCTAAACACTTAGCTTAAGCCTGTATTCCTCCCTTTGAAAGGCCAAGGGCAGGAAAGATAAATCACATCTCTGTTCACATGACCAAACTGAACAGTTGAGCACTACAGTTCACACTGTGCCAAAAATGGGCAGTATCTTGCAATTTTGGCATGAAACCCAAATATTATGAGGGAGGAGACAGGAACTGAAACAGAAATGATTTCCTGGGGATCACAAAGCAAACCAGTGGCAAGGGAAGGTTAGAACTCAAGGAACCTCACCCCAGCACCACACAATCCAACAGGTCAGTCTTTCTCCATTTTGAATCATTGGACTCTTACCTTCTTCACCATAAAAAAATATTAGTCGCAAATAAGAAAGTCATGTAAATATGTTTAAATTTCCTTCACTGGTCTGTATGTATTTAAGTATTTTGGTAAGACCTGCATGTATTAATTTCAAAAGCAAACAAATAACTAGCCACTGTGTTCATATAGATAACCTTTAGGAAGGAAGTAAAAGGAGCAGTTTTTTCCAAACCACACAGCTCTTAGCTGTGACATCTCACAAAATATTCAGCAATGCATGATTTTCTAGCAAGAATGAGTTGAAATAAAGTGTTTATATTGCCAAAGATTCAATAATGAGACTTTCAGAGAAGTCTCTTTCGTCTCTAACTGAAAAACATAACATTTTCAGTGACATGGTAACACAGTATCAAAAAGTTGGGGTTTAGGGTTTCATGGTAGTATAAGAGGGAAAAAAAATCCTTCTACTAAACTATAATCTTCAAGTTATTTTGGGGGCAATAAATCAAATAAAATGCTGAATTTCTGTCCAGCTTATGCGGTCATTTGTCAGACCAAAATGAGAAATGCAATGGGAAACTTACCTCAGAATTATCAGGTTCATCTTTAATTTTGTCTAATAGTCCCTGCTGTGGGGCCATAGCTTTATCATATTCGTCATCCAAAGGCTCCTCCTTAATTCTAATATTTGGTGCAAAGGAATTCCCCAGCTCTTGTCCAATAGAGTCCTTACTAGAAAATAGGTAGCTAGACTCCTGAAACAATAATATGAAAAAGAATTCACCCTCCTGCATCTGCCATAAAGAGTTGGGCTGCTGCCAAGGGGGAGTTTCTGTTGCAGACCAAGAGAAATGGGTCCTGCTACTGGAGGGTGGGAGAAATGAAGGGCAGCACCCTTTGCCACCCACCCCCAATCTTTTTGACTCCTTTGGACAATGCAGAATCCACCCAGTTCTCTAGGTTGGTTGTCAGGGGCACTCGGTTGTTTGGACAGAGTCTTGTTGATACAGCTGTTCCCTGTCTCATCTGGAAAAAAAGGCAGCAGGTCAGATGGATGCATCCAGGTCTAGCTTCGGCTCACCAGTCACTGTCAGACCATGCTGAGTACGGAAGTGGTTATCAAAAGAATCCTCAATCCAAAGAGAGGTTCAGCAAATTTGTACAAAATTATATGCAGACTGTTTAAGTAGCAAAGATGTCTAAGAGTCAGAAGATCAGTTGTCTTGAAACTCAGATTTACACTCAAATATAAAATAAGTATTTTGAATTATTCCAAGTATATTGCTACACTTGCAAAAGTGTTTGAAAGATCTATAGCTTACCCTGAAGTTAGTTTCTGGAGTTTGTGGCGCTAACTGCGTCCGTAATGTTTCTTCTACTTGATTATGAACTGAGGAAAACATATACATTAAATATAAATGAATACAGATTCCAAAGAATTTCCTTTAAAACTATCTAGAGTCTCATACTAATCCCCAACCCCATAGTCTGTCAGCACCTCAGAGTATTAAACAACACCCTTTCCCTTCCCTGCAAACAAGAAGGTAAGGCTCAAAATGAGCTGACAATTTTATTATCCTGCAGGCTCATTATTTTCCTATTCCAGAAAAGTGGCTGCAAAACTCTGAAGCAGAATTGTTCACTTGGAATTTCCTACATCCCAATGAGTTCTGAAATCTATCATGTTTCTACATGTACATCAGAAAATACCTTTTTTTCCAAGCAACAAATTCCATTCTTTTCTTCACTGTTCTGATCTTTTGCCTCTTCCCCTCCTATCAGGGAACAATAACTTACCAACGATAAAAGTTGCTTTGTTTTTTTAAGCATGTTATCTTTTTAATATATTGACAATTATTGAATTTGTTACTAAATAGAAAGACCACGAGCATTTAGTATGTCTTTTCCAATTATTGACTATTCTCTTTGAGGCTGCACAGCTTGTAGCCATGATTGTAGGTGTGTGCAATTTTTCTGAAAGATATCTTTTGCACAGAAATATTTTGTACTTTATTTCCACCTGAACGTAACATCTTTAACTCCTGTTTATTTTAAAAGCCTCTGTATTGCTCCTCGATATATCATCTGTGGAAACTGGAAGCACTGAATATAAGATGCTGTCATGAAGCACACAATTCTGGTATTTGAATTTTGTAAGCTGTGAATATTGACAAATAGAGAGGAGCTTCTCACTATCTACCCTTCCCTCCATTTCTCCGGTATTCTGAATAAAATTAAATCCCATGTTCTAGTCTAGTTCTAGTTACCCCTTTTAACTCATTTACTGTTCTACTGTAACTATCAGAGCTTGGGAAATCAAAAAACATATGTGGGCAGCAAGACTATCGGGTGTCTTCCAGGCTCCCTCAAACGAGAAACGGATTATGGGCATCTTTGCTTCTCTCTCTGTTGGACAAAGTCAAAGAAACAAGTATCTGAGGGAAAAGGAGAGCTGCCTCCCAGGAAAAGTGGATCTCAGGTTACTCCTTGGCTGTCTTCCTGCAGACACTAATAAATTTCTCGTAATCCTTTCCTTGATGCCACTATGCAATGCATAGGGCTTTAAGTACCCTCATACTAAATGAAGGACTGGTGCTCTACTCTGAAGAAATCTTTCTTGATCACCTGCTTAAACTAAATAACCTCATCCTCTTTTCTTTTAAGGAATTGCAAGGTTTATAAAAAAGTGCCAGACAAACAGAAGGAAGTTTCCAGTGTCACCCAGCCTGGTTTAGTGAAACACCACAACAAAGGATATGGTGACGCTTTGACACGAGCTGTGGAGGACGAGAGCCACTAATGCTGTCAGGACCTTTTGCAAATCCCAGTCCTAATACAGAATTCACTATATTTTAGGGTTCTTAATAAAGTGCTTCCCGACATATAACTAGGCGAATTATCTTTGGTAAGATGAGATGTTCAGCAACTAGCTCTATCACTAATTTCTATCTCCTTTTCTGCTTCCTCTTTTCTGGGCAGCTGGATCTACGATGTCAAGTTACCTGCTTTGTCAAGAAAACTGCTTTTCAATCTAGAATCCATATCTTTAGGGATTTTTTCCAACCGTTTTTCACGTTCTTGAAAATGTCCTTCTCTATTTTTGTCCTTTGTGGAAAAAGTCTCTTTGCCATTATCTCTCGTTATGCTAAAATCTTTTCGAAGTGATTTAAATACGGGACCCTTTTCATATGGAGAAGAAAGATCCTTTTGGATTGCATTTTGAATATGAATTTCTTTTTCACTGTCCAATTCATGCTCTGTAACTCTCTTGCCCTCTTCCAAATGGTCTTCAGCATGAATTGGGGAAGAAAGAGTGTCTTTTGGAGTGAAATTTTGATCGTCTTCATTGTCACTCCCAACAACAGGTATGCCTGCAAGATCCCCCGAGTTCAGAAAGTAATCATCATCGTCATCGTCATCATCATCCAGCAGTGAGTTTTCAGATCCTGTTTGATTCTGTATTCCATAAGATATGCTGTCGAGGGCAGGTGTTAAGTTGTGGTCAGTGTCCTCAGACATTTCTGCATCCAGGATTTCACCACCTAGGAAGAAAAAAAAAATATTGGTCAACAGTCACCCAAACCACAGACTTTCTGGGTAACAAAGCACATGTATAAATGTCCTTTGCTAATCTGCCTAAAGCCATAATTCCTTGGACCCTTTTAAGGGGTCTTGGGTCAACATCACTCATAAAATGCTGTTGACACAAGAAGCATTTCTGCCCTATTCACCACAGGGTACAGCAGAAACTGAACCTAGTAAAACCAATGCAGGAATAAAGGGCACTATTTTTCACTCATTTCATGAGCAGTATTTGTGGAGAAGGCAGTGCAGAGAAGGAATGAAGACAAGGGTTGGGAGAAGAGTAAAACAGTCTTTTTGACAGCAGTGTATGTCTACGCGGTGTTTTATTGAACTATGACCATATATAAATAAAAATACTTACATTTCTCTGTAATATCAAATACTGCATCAGATTTATCTTCAAACTGTAAAGAGGAAAGCACTATATCATTATCTTGCTCAGCTGAGAAGTACATTGTTTAAATGTATCCTATCAAAAACAAATTCACAAAAAAAAATCACAATTCCTCCTCCATCCTTTCCTGTCCAAGCAAAATTCTGTGAATTCAGACTGTTACCTCACTAAAAAGTGTCATTTATCCTAAGAAGTACATAGAAAAAGCACACAAAGTTTGGAATTAGTATTCCTATCCAGAAAAAGTGAGGGAGAGGGAAGGAAATGTCAAACCGTTCACTTCTACAGGAGATATTTCTATCAGGTCAAGATCCCACACCAAAAGCATTCAGCCCTTTTCTGCTCTGTGCAAGTTTTCATTTCATGTAACCATCATAAACAGAACAATGCCAATGGTAACAATAATTCATTTCAGTCACCTCGTCTTTCTCTGCACCTCCAGCTCTAAGTTTTCTTTCCTGGTAGATCCTGCTTACACATCAATTCTTAAACCATCTTAAGGGAAGTAATGGGATTTGAAAACAAAGCGATAATCTCTATTTTCTTTGAACCCAAACCATGTAGTTGATGAACTGGGGATGCCACAGGACTGAAATGGGGAACTATCAGCTCCTTAGTGGACAAGGATGACAGTAAATTGTCCTAGGATGCAGTTGATGGCAGAGAGAATCCACCAGTCTCCATCCAACCTCTCCTACAAGTCCATAACAGGGACTTAGCTCCTTTGACCTAACTTGACAAATGTGGAACTGAGCTCTAGTGAGGCCCTGTCCAGCACTGAATTTCAAGACAACTCAAATATTGCACTTTAAAAACCAAACTTGCCAGTTTCTGGGAGCAGAGAGAGTTGTGGCTGGAAAAGTCACATTCGTTATAATTGTCTAGAGGGAAAAAAGAGCAAGCAACCACCTTCCAGGAAGGTCTGCAAGGCCTGAGTTCTCTTACTGCTATAATGGGACTAGGAGTGTCTCAGGAGATGCAAGTTTAATGTTGCTCTACAAGACCACATGCAATCTCCTAAGTTTACACTAATGTAAAACCAATGCCATAAACTTTGGTCGTATTTAGTGCTAAAACAAGATGCGGAGGACAAAAACCTGTTTAATAACAATAAAAGGAACTTGCTGTCATTTGATTGTAACATCAGAGTATGAAGTCCTCTGTATGAACAGGCAATAGCTGATATATTTTTCCCCATCTTGGACTTCTTTTATCCTTTCCTTGCTGGTAGGGTGACAGAAGTGCACACGAAGTATGAGATAATGCCTTTGCTGAAGTAAATTTAGATCAAAGTAGTTTTTGACTCATTTGAGCTGCTGAATACCTCCAGGGAAGTGTGCTAGGTTCTATCACAAACCTGGGCACTTTATATGCCCCAAACTAGGCTTTCCTCCTCCTCCTCTGGCATTAATAATAGATTTATTAATAGGTGACAAAACAGAAATCCAATTATTAGGAGAAGATGAAATTTTGCTGTCTGAAACTCTGTGTTTCATTCTAAGAAATGCAAGGTTGAACTTGGCACAAGAGGCCAACTGCAAGTGGGTATTAGGCACTACCATAAATATTTTGGACAACACTTACAATCTACTTGGAAGGAATCCAAGACACTTCCCAACCACAAGGACATCCTAGGGAAAAGAAAAAAACTATTTGGGATTTTGTTCCTCTTTCTTTTGTGAGGCTATGAAAATAGTACGTGATGTGTTTGCCTTGGGAACCTTTAGATCTCAAGCAATTTTCTTCCTTCTAAAAGGTTTAAGGAGAGACATTTAATTCTGTTTATTTTACATATGTTATTTTCCCTTATGTTACGCTTGTATAAAGCGGTACACTTGTAGGTTTCATGCTTTTTCCAAAATAATGTGGACTATTCTCCTCATTTATATACACTCTATTGCATTCTTGAATCCTATTAAGATCTTATTTAATGCCACTCAGGAGGAATTTTCATACATTAACAAAAAATTATATCATCTTTTATAAGTTTTAAACGAGTTGGCTCTCCCCAGAATACGGTCTTGTACTAGGAAGCAGAAATATAAGTAATAATGCCAAATTTACTACTTTGACATCATTCTATTATCACATTTAGATAAAGTTACCTTGCAGATCCCTCTCTCACCAGTCCTAATATTTCCTCCTCTGAGTAGCTGTGATCCATTCTTAACTCCTTTCATTTCTTCTGCTCTAATTTTTTAAGATGTGATGATTAGAAAGGAACAGAAGTGCTCTAGAGGCAAATGTGTAACTGATTCATGGAACATTATTTCTTACAGGTCCTCTGAGACAGATCTAGAAAGAGGCACCTCCGTAGCACAGGTTAAGTCCTCGGTTACTGCACAATGACAAGGTTTCTGTTACAATATTCTAGGCTTGAAAATCCCAAAATAGCCCTCAAACACACTTCCAGTTTTAAAACAAAACACCTGACTACTATACTTTATAACACATTCATTTAAACACCTTGGTTAATATTTTGCCAGAGATTAACTTAACGATAATCAGTGCTTTTATAATAGTAAACATTCCCTAAGTTTTTAGAAGAAAACAGCTTAGATATGGAATTAGCAAAATTAAATGTTTTAGAATATGTGTTTCTTAGTGGTTCTTTCTCACTAGCTAGAATAGTACACAAAACAATCTTTTGTCTATTCAGGTTTTAAAAAATAAACAAACAATAACACAAAAATGGTGATAAATTCTGTCAGGTATTTCTAGACGTGAAAGATTAAAAAGTAAAATGTCAGGCTTTATATCTGGTCCAACAAAATCTTCAATGAAATTATTGTTGCTAAAATAAATTACACAGTGAGTTTGCTTTAAAATAGCTATTTTTTACAAACAGAAAAACAGGTCTGTTTTATAAAAATTATTCTGCTAGATACACTGCTACATTTTGTTCTAATTACACACTAGACACCAGGGAAAATTGTTACATCCATAGTACTCACCCCTTCTTTGCTTGGAGCGGGTGACAGAAGGACACCGTTTATGGTTTAAGACAATGTGCTGATTTGCAATAACTAAAAAACCTGTTCAAATACTACAATATCATTCAAAGTTGCCATAGCACCCATGAACCAAACAATAAATTATTATGACGCAATATAAAGGCAGAAGCTGCCCTGTGGCTACAATATTGTTCCGTATGCAAAATAAAGAAGTACTTTAAAGAAAAAAAGAATCGTAACAACTTAACACACACAGGCACATATCTTTCTAGCAAGCCTTTTGGAGTCTGATCTTAGGGTTTAGTGCATCCATAAGCAAACTGCGGAGAAGAAACAGAGATGTTAAGAATAATGCAATTAAAAAAGAATAAAAGGCGGAGATTTTCTCAGTTTGTTGTTTGAGAACTCCTATAGAATGCTGCATACACCCCCCACCGCAGAATTTCATAGACTCCTAAGGCATGTATATATATATATATGTGTGTGTGTGTGTGTGTGTGTGTGTGTGTATACATATATATATATTTTTAAAGTAATTTGGCTTATAATTCCTATTCTGGAACGAGGTGCAATACGATGAGGAAGCGTCCCCTGACCTTTTACACATGACACCCCTAGGAGAGCTGCTGGGCGCTGCGCTGCAGCGCGCCGGGAGGAAGGGCGCGCGGCGCGAGCGGGATGGAGCGGCCGCTCTCGCCCGCAGCTGCGTGCGCAGCGCAGCGCGGCAGCCGCGCGGGCCCTACCTGCCGAGCACCTAGGGAGGAAGGAGCAGAGGGTAACAAAGAGCCGGGTGCTGCGGATACCTGCTACAGGAAAAGAGCCACTGCGGCAGGAAGAGAACCCGGCGGGGTCAGGCGAGCCATAGAGCTGGCGCGCGGAGCCGGAGCCGGCCTGCAGAGCCCCCTAGCCGCCCCGGCCGGCTGGGCTCCCGAGGCCGGCCGGCCGGCACCGGTGGGGAACGGATGCAGAGCGAGCGGCTGCGGAGCCCTGGAACCTCATGGCTTGGGCGAGCTCCGGCCTTCGGGCTTGAGGGGGCATGTGGGGGCTTCGGAGACACCTGGATTTTAGCTACAGTCACTGCTTTAGTCTAAATAGATGCATGCTCTGATGGGGGAATGTAGAGGCAAATCCAAACAAACATCCATACACGCAAAAAGACAAAGGCAGGCATTTTTCTGATCCTTAGGGCTCAAGGAATACAATTACAGGTTGTCTCTGCATCTTAAGTTTTTAGGTTTCTGATAATAAGATTAAGGCATGTGCTGATAACATTTTGTATTTGCACGGGTAGATACCAGCAGGTAATTCAGCACATAAAGTTACTCCTTCCTAGTCCCAGATTTTTTTTTTTTTTTTGACATTTCTGGGTTTTCTGACTATCCGATTCCAATCAAAACCTCTGCCACCTTTTACCTGTGTCTTCCGTATCTACCAAGCACACACACACGCTGAACAGTGTTACAGAAATGCATGAGGCCAAGCAGGTCAGCCTGCCAAATACACAGAATGTTACAGGGTGTCTTATCTCTTCTCAGTGTTCTGGTGTTTTGAATCCATACCTATAAACAAATCCTTGCCCATCTCCCATTCCTCAAATAGTTTTGAAAAGGAACCGGCTTCATACTGAAGGCTTCAGCTTGCAACAGTTTTTGCAAAGCCACCAGAATAAGATACTGGGATCTGAAGCCTGCCAAATGCACAGGCTTTGCAAATTAAGAAACACACATGCACAAAAACACAAATAAAGCAAACTAAGACATCACGTGTAAGGCTTTCTTGAAAAAACCCTATAACTTCTTCCTCCAAACCCTCCTCCCTAGCTATGTGCTGAGCACTTATTCTGCTTAAAGCTTTACACAAACAATCTGTGACACCAGGAGACTGGACACACTAAATCTCTAAGTGAACTGAAATCAGGGTAATTCCTATTCTCACAGCATAAATAAAATAAAATAAAATAAAAAAAAGCTAAATTGAAGTAAATAAAGTTACACATACATATAACCAAAATCAGACTGGTGTCTGCATCAAACAAGACATGCTTGTGATGTGATATCTAGCAAGTAATTATTCCAAACCAAATATTTCACTTTAGTTACCAATTTTATCACCCCACAAGAAGGACAGCATTTCCCAGATTACAAACACATACTGAAATATTTTGGCCAAAGATTTCAAAAGAGTAGCTATAATTTATTTAGAAGATTATGCGCTGCAAAGCCCAAAATCCCCTTAATTCCATTTAACTCAGAAGCTGAGTCTGTCATTAATAGAAAGTCATCATGTCCTTTAAGGAAAAAATAGTGCACAGAGTACCACTAAAAACCATTGAGGTTAACAATCTGGGGCTGGAGGACCAGAACACTACAATCCAGGAAAAAACCGTTTACTCAATATCTCATTCATTTACTCAATTAGCCATCTCAGTCATTATTTTGCTAATAGCTACGTTACTCTTAGCAAACTAATCTTTAAAGAAAGTGATACACGCATAAATCCCAAGCCGTCCACTTTTCATTATAATCTGCAACAAGCCTCAAGATGGCTTTGTGTGCAAGTCAGGAAAATTCGCAAACGTAGCACCTTCTGCTTGCTGATAAGCACAGCAGGGAGCATCAGTCCTCCTCCGTGGGACGGTTTATATGTTATCTACCATTAGGTATTGCAAGGCTTTCTTTCCCCTTCTCATACAAGTTACGTGCTGGCAACAATTGGGCGTGAAAGCAGGAGCCTGTACCTATAAGCAGCTTCCTCTACTTCAATGTTTTTGTCCTTAAATAAAGTCACCCACTCTACTGTATTCTTCAAAGTATCCCAACTGGTTTCTTTTTGGCCTGTCTTCTTTCCTGCTCCTACGAAAACTGTTATTTCTCTCTTTCACATGGCTACAATTCCAGTCTTGTTTGTAGCTCTTCTATTTTTTTTTCCTATGAATGAGTAGTTCTTAGAATGGGCACCTTACTTGGTGGTTCCACCTTCTTTGCAGGTACTATTACAGGCATCCAAGGCTCTTCAGAATTAAATGCCTGAACACATGTAAAAACAGGCAGAAAAAGCACTCCTACTGTGTGATGAGAGCTCTGCCAAGCTCCTGCCCTGGAGCACTTGAGAACTGCCCTATTACCTAAACAAACAAGACTCTGCACAAACCCAAAGTGCCTGCGAAGAAACGAACACTTATCATAGTGAGGTATTAAAAGAAATACTGACCCATCTCTTCTTTTCACCTGTGTTCAGGCAACTAAACATTAGTTTTATAGGTCAGTTGGTCAGGCTGGAAAGAAATTCCAGTGGAAATGGGGAGGCAGTTCAGAAGGCAACCAACCCATGCTGCCCTGGCACTGCACAGATGATCTTTCAGAGATCTCCATCTCTTTCACTGATGGTAGAAAGAGTCCAAATAACCTCAGCTAGAATGGACGGACAACTCTTTGACAGGTACAGCTTATAATATGAAGATGAGAAAATGGAAAATACATTTATTTCTAAACTCTTTCCCTGTAGGTTGCTAGGAAAGCAAAATCAAGAATCAATGATTGGTCCTACGTTTACCATGTGCAGTTCAGTAAGGAGCATTTCAGCACTGGCACAATGGGACGGGCACAACAAGGCCACGCTGCAGCGCTGCATCTTCCACAAACATCCAGCCTTCCTGCGCCTGGGTATCTGGCTCAGCACTCTCCTGTGCTAACATCTGCCAGGGAGTCTTGGATAAACTTCTCCAAGGTCTTAAGAGAAATGTAAATATTTTTCGGAACCTAGACCGATCATCAAACATTCAGAATAACTGGGTGAAAAAGAGCAAATGTAAAATTTAAGTTACAGTCTGTCATATTTAAAAACATTTACCTACAGTACAGAGCAAATATGGTAATGAAAAATTAAATAAATTACTGCCAGTTTTCAAAAATAAACAAACAAGAAAAACTACGCAAAATTCAAAATATTTCAAAAACAGACGTTATATTGCTATAGGCCATCCACTTATCTATTCTCACCAAACTAATTTCCACATGCCCAAGTCTCAAATTCCAGCATTTAGTACTGAACATCACAAACTGTCCTACCTAATTCAATGGGTTGACAGTGCGGTTGCAAATAAATGATCGTTCTATTTAAAATGTGAACTGTTCAAGACAGTGACATTACACCCAAATTAAAGCCAAAGAATCTAGAAAGCTGCCAGAGATGACAGCACGTGAGACGCTCTCCATGATGTGCCATGGGAAACCAAATTCGTGGAGCCTGCTGGACTCAGCATCTACTACATGATTATCCTGGTGATTTTTTCCTTTTTTTGCCTCATACCAATGAAGAAGATGCTACTTAAGATTACAAGATAGCTTAGGTTGGAAAGGACCTAAGGAAAGTCTCTATCCTGATCCAAGGTTGGCTATAACGTCACACTAGGTTGTTCCTGGTTCATCCAGGCTCTTCTTGACAGCCTCCAAGGACAACTTGCTTGCTGCTGTGGCCTCAAGCTGTTCCAAAGCTTGAGTGCACATCTGTACATGTCTGTACATGTCTGTATATCTTCTAACATTTTACTTACTGGTACTGAAGTTCTATTTAATATTTCCTAAGTTACTGTCCCACCTTCAGCCACCTCTCTCTGAATACCCTACAGTTAGCTGCAATCTTGGTCTTAAGAGACTTAAAAAAACCTGAGGAACATTTATGAGCAATTCCACAAAGCTCTTTGGGATTACTCGTAGGTACATGGAAGTACAAATGTCTGAAAGACGTGGGTTTAACACTACGATGCTCTTTTCCGTAGTTGCAGAGCAGCTGAACAACGTGTGAAGAGCTCCTCCAATTGTGCTCTTGAGAGTCAACTCTTCTGTTTAGCAGCAGCGAGTTTCCCGTTGCCTGAAATAATGCAGCAACTGAAACTTCTCTCACACAGTGAGCAGGAAGATTTGGGCAGTTCTCAAGGCTGGGGATTGGAAAGCTCCTCATCCCTACGGGAAGCGGACAGCTCAGGCACTGGCAGCGGATGACGGGCCCTTCCACAGCACCTCAGGTTCACACTTGATCTCTCTAAAACAAGGTTTCCAACCTAAAGCCACCTGCTCGCAGGAAGGAGGCCCAAACCACCACAAGATCAGCGGGAGTGCTGCTAAAAAACTTAATTTCCCTCAGTTCTGTCACAGGTTACGGCACACGGACTGGACAGCCCCCCAGCTTTAAAGACGGGGTGTCCCTTGGTACATTGCCATGCCTGGGATGCTCCGAGGCCCCGAGCGCGAGGTGGGTGGGGAGGCGACGCCGCGAGGCTGAGGCGGTGTCGAGGCCGCACGCGGACACGAGGCCGCACACGAGGCCGCACGCGGACACGAGGCCGCACGTGGACACGGGGCCGCACGTGGACACGAGGCCGCAGCCAGGCCCGTCCCTCGACGGCTCCGGACGCGAGGGGCACGGCAGGGGTGGGGGGGGCTCCACCGGCCCGGGGCGGGGAGGGGGGCCGGGAATGCCCCCGCCCCTTGACCCCTCCCCTTTGACCTCCCCGCGCCCCCTCCCCTCACTCACCCTGGCGCAGGCTCCGGCTCCCTCCTCCTCCGCGGCCTCCGCCATGCTGCGCCCCCCCCTCGGCTCTCCCTGTGCCAGCCCGGGCCGGGGGGGGGGGTCGCTCCCTCGCAGCCTTGCGAGCC